TTGAAAAGAATTGGATTAAATGTTTGAGTTTTGTTGTTTTGTCATAGGGTTCAGATTTATGCTTGTTATTTTAATCTGCAATAATTAGTCATGTTGTGGAAAGAATATTACGCCTATTGTGTGGACTGTAAATTGCTGGCAAAATATCATTATCAACCATAAACAAACACAAATATATAAAGACACAGATGTCTGGAGAGATCACGATTCTTGATTCATATTGATCGTTGACTCAGGACACATTTTACTGACATCCTATCTGCAGTAATTGAACTTTACAACTGTGGAATGGATACTCAAAGTTTTACAGTTCATTCATAAAAGGATTTTACATTTCATTCTGGAAAAATGGCTGACTTTCATTCGGGCACAGGTGGATTTCCCTAAAAAGCAGCAGGTCTTCAACTTTATGTGGGATCTAAACGCCATCTTGTGGTTATAAATGGTATCACAGTAAGAAAGAAGACAAAGCATTTAACCAATAAAAGTTGAAAACATTTCTGTAGAAAGTATAATACATTCTAATGGGATTCATTTAATGCATGCTCAGTAACCTAAGTTGTTATTCTTTGCAAAGTCAGATAAAATATACAACTTTCTTACCTTTGGCTGTCTTATAATTATGGAGGGTCTGGGGATTTGAGGGTATCTCTGTTCACGTTCTGGACAACGCTCCAGCTCCTTCTCATGGTCTGATCTCTCAGAAAAGTTACTGAGAAGCGGAGGAGCCTCTAAATATGCTTCTGCACCTTCTTCCTGTACATAGCAGCCAGAGTTTAACCTTGTTGCATTGATGTTCCTGCTTCTTCTGGAGTTGGAGGACATACAGGAGAAAGTCCTCTGAAGCTGAAAAGGCTGCTCTTCCTGCCTGCTGCTTGGTGTGGTTTCAACAGGTTGGGATGTAACCGGGTCGGCTGCTGAGAGTCCGTTATTGTTTCTATTGTTATTGGACCCGTTTGACTCAGCAGAATGTGCAGAATCAGTGTTAACATCAGAAGAGTTACCAAAACAGTGCCCTAGGGATGAGCAAGGAAGCCCATGCATGCTTGCAGATTGACAAATTACCACAAGAGACAAAAAAGTAAATCTTATCTTCACTGACATTAGGTGGTAACAAGAAACACTGGATGGAGAGCCAGGGTTAGTTAGTCAAGCCTGTGTCCACTAAAAAAGCTGGACTGCAGAATACATTGTAAAATCATAAGGATAATCCAAATTTAAAATGCAAAATAAATATCCAAATTAAGGTTAATCAGCATCCTTAATATTTTAACAAACCCAGTATCCTCTTCTCCAGGTACAGCCATATTCCAGTCTTATCCTTGAGCCAAGAATCCCGCTCTGCTCATCTACATCCCCAATGCCCAGCAACCTACATTTGGATTTCCTAAGGTTTTTTTTATGTGTTAGCAGCTTGGTGTCTAGTTACCTTGTTTGGTAGCCCCTGTGTTGCTTTGAGCTTGGAGGCTGGGGATGGCCCACACAGTCCAGGCTGAGACTCTAGTTACCAGCTGACTCGGAGTCAGTTACTAATACACTTTCCCTACACTTCGCCAGCATTAAATAATGAGCACATCTGATCGCAGAGCTGTGGCCTGAGCGGTAGAGGTTATGGGACAGTTACAGATGGTTGAATATGAGAGCTCAAATTACAGGCAAATGCTGTAAGTGATAGGCCTATGATGAAAAAGAGCATGGAGGAATAAGGTAGAGAGACAAGGGTAGATAGGGCAACTGACAGAAAGTGTGTGAGAGGAGAAACCTTGTCTGCCATTAGATGAATGCTACTTAAATATTCATACAAATTCTCTACATCAATTGTTTATCAAGCCTGGTCCACCAATATATATCTATTTTTCACAAGAAGCATGCCTAAATATAATGATGGCCAAAAACAGATAATCTTACTTGTAATATGTTAACCACCCTATGGAAAAGTATTTATGCATTTAAGTTTTTCACAGTTTATCAAGTTATAATATAAATGCGTACATCTAGGAATGATAAAGTTAGAAGTATAGCATCTATTTTTCTTATCCCCTAATTACTGTAGTACTTCCTAAATAAAATCAAATATAACCAGCTAGCCTGAATTCATCTTCTTAGGAAGGATTTTTCAACTGTATGTCACAAACTGTATGAATAGTCTATCTGTTGTGTACATACCTCAGACATTTGCTAGAGAGAACCCTGGTGACCAAGAGGCACCACGTTGCAAACAAATTCAAATCTAAGTAAGTCATCATTTTCTTAAAATAAGTGCATTTGTTCTTGAATTGAGGCGGTAACTTAGACACGTTGCCAATGGAACAAGATAATTTACCTTTAAAATAAGAAAAACAATTGCATGGTTTTATTTCAAGTGGATATTATCTATCCGTCCAATTTCTATCATGCTGGGGTCGCGAGGGGAGCTGGTGTCTACCTCCAGCTGTTATTGAGCGAGAGGCAGGGTACATCTCGGACAGGTAGCATATTATCTAATTATCTTATGTTTAAGAGTAAAAATTCTCAAATCTACACAAATTAAGGGTAGATACACTTAATTTAAAAATTTTTACTTATTTTTCTATCATTTTTTGCAGTGCATGAAGGAGGAAAGCAGCAGTCAGGTCAGCAGTAAAGGTGTAGAGATTTAGAGGTTCATTTAAAGAAACAAGATAATAACAATAATTAAACTATATTGATCTCACATTGGAGAAATGTACCCCTGCATTTAATCCATCCCCTTGGGGAGCAGTGGGCTGCCATTGTGGGGCGCCTAGGGAGCATTGTGGGGTTAAGGGTCTTGCTCGGAGAGCCAGAGCGGTAGTCTGTGGGAGTGAGGCTCGAACTCAGAACCTCAGGATTCTAAGCTCTATGCCCAAACCACTAGGCTGCCTCTCCCCTCATATTGAAAGGTTTGAACATCTCACAGCAGAATATTCAATCCTTCATCACCTACTGAAACAACCACCTGACCTAATACCAAGGCTAAAGAGGACATTGTTAGAAAAGCATTTTGATAGAGATCCATAAAACACACAGAAGAATCTGTCAACAGGACAACTAATAGTCAAATGCTTTGATAATCTCGTCTTTATGGAGAAGTTGCAAAGACAGTCAAAGCCAAATTTGCATAATACATGTGGAAGAATGTGCTTTGTTTAAAGGAGACCAAAATTAAGTTTTGTTGGCAGCCTCCAAAATCTTATGTGTGACAAAAACTAATATTGCAAATTGCACTGAACATTGCTTCTCTGCTGTGAAGCGTTGCTTTGATATTCTGCATTTTTTTTTTTGCCCAGAAGGGACAGACAGGAAAAGCACCAAAGATACAACCAGTTCAATAGCAGAAGGGTTTGTATTACCTCAAATCTAGATTTAAATTCGACAGAGATTTGGGACTCACAGAGTTTGAATGAGCTTGAGGTATTTGCTATTAAGTAAGGACAAGTTGTACCTGGAAGTTCTCTCTTAAAAAGAACCATTTCATACCCCGATATGAAGTGGTTCTGCAAAGTAGGGACTCAGAAGGGCTGAATATATATATATATATATATATATATATATATATATATATATATATATATATATATATATATATATATATATATATATATATATATATATATATATATATCACATTTTTGCATCTGCAAATATCTGCTTATAAAGCTTCCCTTACCACAGAAAAGATCCAAAGGGCATGAAGATCGATCATTTTCACTAAGTTTGTTAAAGAGGTTGGACAACTGAACTTGTTTCTATTAGGAAGTTCTGTTACTCCCATTTTTCCTTCAAAGTTATATTTCCCTAATCCTATTTTAAGTGTTTTTTACAAAGTGTGTTCCCTGTCCCTTCTTAATTTTACCAGCTAGATCACAAATTATTAAAATGTACAAAATGGTGCCGGCCTCCTCCTCTTCGTGTAACTTGATGTTGTAAATGTAGAGCACCTCAACAAACTGAACCACAGTGTTTGTATAAAACATACATGAGACTGTTTTTGTCTTGGGATGTAAACACAGATTATTTACACTCACAAGTGCCTCTGATGGAACTAGAATGATGGACCTAGTCAATATTTACTGTCTGTACACGCTTATCCAGATGGGCAAATTTTGAAAAGTCAGTGATTCAATTAAATCGGCTGGGTTTCCTTTGAAAACTTTAAACAAATTTAACTATATGAGCCAATTAAATTCTCCCTGTAAAGGGCCTTAAGATTATATGTGTTGTGAAAAGGAACTATATAAATAAATGGAATTAAATTTAATTAAATTGAGACAGACAGACAGATAGATACAGTTGTAATTGAAAGTTTACATACATTTTCATGAAAGAAAATTATAAATTCACACTCGTAGGCCAAAAAACACAAAACTGAATGAATAAATAGTAAAAAAAAAAAAAAAAGCAAAATTATTATCTAATAAAATAAAATATTGATTTTGACGTTATGTTTAAAGAATTTTTTTTTTTTTTTTAATAGGGCAGATAAAAGTAACTTGTTCAGTCCTGATTAGATAGTCCTGATTGAATTGGTATCATGGAGTTTTGTCTCCCCCTGGAGGTTATTAGGATAAATTACAGCCCATATGAACGTGATACTGTGGACTTCCGACGCTCATGTAAATAAAAACAAATAATAATAAAAGAATATATTCGAAGGAGTTTTATTTAATAGCTTAAATAACTAGCTTAAATCGATTAAGTTTCAAAGGCCATCCTTTCAGGGCAGGAGAGCGTTACAGACTCTTACATTAAGCAGAAATACAAGCGCTTCGAGCGGCATCAAGTTAACATACACACGCCTCCCTTCATTATTTGCCCTTCACAATATACCAACTGGACACTTTTTTAGTCAAGAAAGATTTAGGAGAGAACTCCGAAATCAATTTATTTATAAACAGTATTGATTTAAAGAGCAGCCAGTGTGGTTTTAGTTTGAAATGAAAAAATTATCATTATTCTACGCACTCATGGGGCTTTTATTCTGACATTCAAGCGGAAGTGGCGTTCAGCTGGGCCCAGCTATGATCAGCTGAGCGCCAGCAGCCCAGGAGCGCAGCGCACAATCTGAGGATAATCGCAGGTGGAGAGGCTGTTTGGATCTGAGGCTCGGGAAGCTGGTGCAGAGAGGAGGCCGGCCAGACGTCCGTTCCTATGATATAGATGATTCCACTGGATCCAAATCTGTGTTTTAATTTTCAGATCTGAATTGAACGTTTTTTCTCGATGATCCACAATGCGGTCCTTGGCTCGGTTCGTCGTCCGATGCGCTCTCATCATCTACCCCCTCTGCTTGACTGACGGAGTGGAAGCAGAGCGGCAGTGCACTGAGGTGAGGCAAACAGCAGATCTCTGCTGTTTATATTGATGTCAAACCTGACATTAAGGGATAAACACGCACTGACTGATGGTGCTGGCTACAAAATGGTTAAAATCCAACGTTTAACATGTATACGATTAAAATTGATGACACATTTCCGGGTTGGTTTATGGTAAAATGTTTTAATTGAGGCCCTTATTATTTTACAGTATGTGAGGAAGCCAGGATTTTTAATTCTAATTAATTTTGCTCTGTATAGTGTAAATCTGTGAAGAGGTCTGGGCTGTGTTGAACTTCACCACTCAGAGCTGTTATCAGTTTCCTGCATGGACTGGTCCTTCCTTCCCTGTGGCTCTGGTTTCCCTCAACACCTCCTCAGAAGAGGCTGGCTAAACAGTCAGACATATACAGCAGATAGGGGCAACATTCCTACATTCTTACTCTCATACTAAATGCAGGAGATGATGGCAACCTTTCTTCTATGACAATTATTTCTTTGGAGCAATATATATATATATTTTTTTTTTCAAAGGATGATGATGTGTGGCATACAGTCCAGTCCAAATGCATTTTTAAAGTAAAATGGATAAGGTCTGACTATGCAATGTCAATGTTTATGTGACAGTAAAAAAAAAAACTCAACTGGACTGCAAAGTATGGGTCTCATCTACAGCAATTTGCAATATCCAAATGTTCTAAAGAGTGTTTGGAGCTACATGAATTGAGCTAATTAGCTGAAATGATTAAGGACTATGCAGGATGAGAGTTTGGCTGGTTCTGCCAGATTCTTAAGGGTGTTAAGATCCAGTGGGATCTACTTTATGGGTTTTTGGCCAGATTATTACATTTAGGATCCCTGTTTGGTTCTGTGTTGGTCTGTTTGTTGAACACTTTCAGCAAATGTTGCATACAGCAGCTTTGCAGCAGTTTGGGATGAATCATCAATGGGACTCAATATACTATCATGCATCAACCTGACCAAAAATCCAGCTTGAAATGATTAGATTAGATTAGGGCTGAAACAATTAATTGTATTAATTGTGATTATTTGATCATTGAGATAATCGTTAACTAATTCAGTAATCAATTCATCGTTAACTGGAGTATAGAGACTCTAAAACATGTCTTTAGCCTACCTGACAGAGCAACACACTTAGAGCAGTAATTATACCAAGATTGTAAAAAAAAAAATATACAAACAGTTTGCATTTAAGATAAAAATAAAGAGGTCTTCTGTCAATATGCTCTATCCAGAACTCCAGAACACTCAAATGGAAAAGTTTCACCTGGTTTAATTTAATAAAAGATCTTCTTTAAAGAATCTGTGGCTATCCGATGGATTGATTGACAACAAAAAAAAATATAAAATTAACAGATAAATCAATTTGCAAAATAATCGTTAGTTGCAGCCCTACATTAGATCTTTCATCTCCCCGACTCAAATTAAAAAGAAAAAAGATACAAAAAATGCATCCATGTGTTCAATTTTTTTTTGAAATTCTTCCAGGAGCCATTAAAAAGCAAACTTTATAGGAGCCCTTTGATTATAAATGGAAAAATGGAGAAACATAAAAGAAAATGGACAGATTGAAAGTACTCTGATTAGCTATATCATGTGATGTCACAAGATGCCTATGTAGGTTTGGAAGCCTGTTACTTGGAGGGCATATTCTGTCTTGATTTATTAAAACCAAACACTCACTATAACACGTAACTTCTTAGGAGACCAGCTTCTTCTTAGTTGGGCTATTAGCTGTAGAAAATGCACTATATGCTTTATATGTGATTCTTCACACTTTTTTGTGGCAGTAAAAAGAGATGATTGGGAAAGAGAAAGTGACTGAGATGTGTGCTGCCTCCATTTACAGACAGCAGGCTGCATCCACTGCTGTAAATAATAGTGAGCCCAATGTAAGGCCTGCTTTCTCTGTATGCATAGAATGAGAAAAACTCAGTTCCTAGTAAAATAACCTCCCGTGCTCCTGCTCCCCCCTCACTCTCCATGGAGATAGTATGTTATGTATCCAGGCCTGAGGAGAGGTCAGAGCTTGAGAGATAACAACCAGAACACACATGCACGATTGTTTGCCTTTCTTTAAGTCAAGTGGATATGAAAGGTGATATCTGTGTTTGCTGCAGCTCCATTTGCTGCTTTAACGTTGGCTGCTTTGAATTGGCCGGATATTCAAACTGAGATGACTCAGCGCTCTGTTATGGGTGGAGACCCCCTAACAGTGATGTTTTTACTGACCTGCCTTGGGCCCTTATTGGTTCTATGTTTGCTGCCAAGCCTGTTGCTGTATCTGATCTTTCATGCAGATGCTCTGCATGCTTTTTACAGACGGACTACTACTATGAGTACACGGAGTGTGACAGCACAGGATCCCGGTGGAGAGTGGCCATCCCACAAAGTCCTGGGTCCTGCAGCGGATTACCACAGCCAGTAAAGGGCACAGAGTGCAGTAAGTTGGAATCTTTAGAGAATGTACTAATGAGACCGGCAGTGACAGTATCAAGGATATGTTCTGTTGAGTGATATGAGGTTATATAATTTGCTGGTTGCACCATTCATACGTTTAACATGTAAGGGTCTCATCCCTAATAATTTTTGCACAGTGAGTCTAACATATTAACTCTGTTGCATCAAATCATAACATACTGTGCTCACACCCTCTGATCTAAACTGATCGTTAACACCTCACTGCTAATTATTAGGAAGGAAATAAATATTTTTCTTTATTTACTATCTATAGTATTTATTCTAGCATTTTCTGATTTGCAAGTAAGCTTATCAATCTTGTCAATCTTTCTGATCAGTCATGTTAATCTATCAGGCAGATTATGTGTCAAAGTAACTTTACGTAATGCTAGTGTCTTTTTTTTTTTTAGCAGTTACACCTTATGCTAATCTGATTTTTATCACAGTTCAGTCCAAATGCATTCATACCATTTTTTCACATTTTTTTATATTAAAACCACAAACTTGTAAAATGTTTTCATTGGGATCTTATGTGACAGACCAATGCATGAATATAAGGTAGAGAAAAATGAGGCTTGGTTGTTAAAATTCCTTGCAAGTTCAAATCTGTAAAGTGTGACATTCATTTGTGTACAGTGCTGATACCGCTGAGAGTGTGTCCATACTATTCAGAAAGAATCTCTTGGAAAAAACTTTTTTCTAGCATTAAGCTGTCAATATTAAGGACGGTGTCTTCACTGTGATTTGCAGTCTTAGTTTTCTGCCACTTATATCATTTCATTTGTGGCTAACATGTTCTGTTTTGGTCTTTATTTAATAGGGTTCCTTTTAAGTTTTCTGTCTCTGTTACATTTCTCCTAGTAAACTGTAAATGGGACTACTTATTGATTTCCTTCATCAGTGGAATTATTTTTAACCACCTCCCATAAAACAGGATGGATTGACTAAGTTTGCTCATCTAGCATTTTGCCCAACATTTTTACAGTTATTTTCTGCCTTCTGGCATTCATGAATAGTTTTATCTGCTCCACTGTCAGATGCTTTTTGGCTTGGTGTTATATCATTATATTTTATGAATAAAAGAACAAAAATTTCAAAGTATCTGTTTACTATGAATAAAGTATTATTGAATTTGTAATGCACGGCAAAGATGTGCACATTTCTGATTAACTGTATGACTTTCAGATTTTTGTTTTGCTTTACAAAGCATATAAATGCTCATTTGTTGATTTTTGAAATGATGTTGTGCAGAGATTCATGTTAATAATAGAAGAGTCAGAAACATCTTTGCTGGAGGTTTAAAAATAAATAAAATCATAATCATTTTTTGAGAAGTTGCACACAAAACATTTTAGACAATGGATCCAGGAAGGGAAGATGGAGTTTAAATATGTAATGAATGTGGATCTTGTGCAAGGTGGTAAGGCAGGTATTTTTGTTTTGTTTTGGATTCATTCACAACCTGTTTATCCTGTTGGTGAGTTTTAAAAAACCCCCACAAAAAATGGTTGTGTGTCCATATGGTAAAACAAATCACACCCTAACATTATGTTGTTACATCATCTCTTTATCTTCAAAATAATTATTGCAGGTTTAATCTTCAGTAACGTTGCATCAGCAGGAACTAGACAAAGAGACATTTTTAGGTTCCTCTCTTATGCACCTCTGACTTTTTAGGATGCACCCAATGGAAGCTAATATAAGTTTTAAGAGCTGCCTCTGTGCTGAATCTGTTTCTATTTTCCATGGTGCATAGATGTGGAAAAAGTCAAGCGTTGCTACAGGGTAGAAAGTCTCTCATTGTCTTTTTTATTTATTTTGCTTTTGTTTCTTGTGTATCAAAAAATATTTATATATATTTAGTTCATATTGGCTGGTAAAACTTTCACCCATTTTTCATCCGTTTAGCATCTTTAAATTCAAACATTGCCTCTTTCATTTAATATTGCTGTAAGATAAATTTTTTGCTGACATTTCTTGAAATCTTTTTGTGCTTCCTCAACTTTGCCAGTAAGCCAGTTCAGGTATGAGGAAAAGCTGTCGCGTGAAACAAAACCAAGCACAGCAACTTGTTGGGTCTGGGAAAAAAAGATGTAGAGAGAAAAAGTGTGTAACAGGATGTAAGGATTAAGCTCCTCCATGGTTGGGGTACTGCGGCAGTGATTTGCTCTGCTGTTTGTCAGTTTCAGGATGTCTGAATCTAATGGAATCTGATGAGAAAAAACGTTTTGAATGACATTTTTCTTGTACAATTCTTTGTCTGTATCATTTTGTGCCCTCCTTTTTTTGTCCCCTAGCCTTCTCCTGCAGAGCTGGGGAGTTCCTGGAGATGTCGGCTCAGGAGTGCACCCAATGTGCTGCAGGGAGCTACTCCCTCGGCAGCGGCATCCGCTTTGACCAATGGGATACCATGCCTGTTGGATTCAGTAGCCTGGCAACTTCTCTGGGGAATGATCCACATAGAGATGCCAGACTATCCTGCAACAGGTTAATGAACTGGAAAGAGGAAACTGAATTGCATCTGTAAGAATTTTTTTTTTATTGGCTTCATTCTTCCTCCTGCAGTTCTTCCTGGATACCTCAAGGAAACTACCTGGAGTCCAACAGGGACGAGTGTACGGTCTCTCTCATTTATGCTGTTCACTTGAAGAAGCAGGGCTCGGTCACCTTTGAGTATCAGTATCCTGATAAAAACCTGATGTTTGAATTCTTTGTGAGTAACCCCTCATTTATTACCACCAGTTCCTTATCTATGTTGCATTATGTGTTTATTTTTGCAAATGGCAAGTGGAACAGATTATTACATTATTATTTTTTTTTGTTTAGATCCAGAATGACCAGTGTCAGGAGATGGATCAGTCCGCTGATACAAAGTGGCTTCAGCTCACTAATCATGGGGAGTGGGCAACCCACACGGTAGGTTTTAAATGTTCACTTATGAGGAGCACAAACAAAGGAAAGATTTTTGGCAGTTTGCCCTAATCTCCTAAAATAAAGGCTTTGAGTGTCAAACAGTGGGTGGATGTGAGCAGGAAGCCAGTTGATACACAGGAGCACACTAAAGTAACAAAAGGCTGTTTGCAGTATATTTCCAGACATATTACCAAACCAGATAATAAGTTGCTTTGATCATGTGTTCATGAGAAAGTTCATAAAAAATTCAAGGCTTTTTTTGTGTACTTTATTTTGAATGTGAGCCTAAATATTTTAAACCAGTTTGAGCCAAACCTATTAACTATTTGCTTCTTTAGCAAATTAAATTTGAATAAATCTTCGTATTTCATAGCATTCTGGAGATGCTAAGCATGCTGTTTGCATGTTTTATGCATTAATGCCACTTAAATAAAGTTTTGTTTGCTTGTGTTACTCATTGTAGAGCTTTGATCCCTGTACTTTCAGTATGCCACAGCCATCACATCAGAAACCCAGTTTTTCAATCAGTTCATCCAGAAAGGGAAACCCATGGACATATTAAACACAATGACCCATCTTAAAATCCCAGTTTTTGTTCCTTAATATGACACATTTTAGATTTCTTGAGGATTTTTCTTTAGCACAGATATCTTAAATGTAATACTCAGCCATAAACACTCCAGCATGGAGACTTAAACCTCAAAGCACATAAAAAAAAGCTATATCCTGTTTTAAGAAGAATAAAAAATGTTAGGCTAAAACAAATGCAGCAGTAACAATTTTAGTCCCCAAAGTACTATCTATTTTAAAAGTTTATGGGAGATTAAAAAAGGTGAAGAGTGTAGCAGAATTCAACAACTACCCCTGATACAAAGGACTCAACTTCTGCAGTGCAACGACTTCTTTTTTTTTAGATGTTAATGATTTCTTTTGATCTGGAAATCAAGGTATCAGGGTCCAAGAGTCCAAGTTGGTCGAGGTATAGTGAAGTTTCCTCAGAGTCTTTTCATCTGCTGGTGTTGAATGATAAGGGCTCACTCGCTGCTGCTTATGCTGCTTGTGCTGCAGGAGAGGCAGAGACTTGTTCAGGTCGTTATAAAGGTTTACTAAGTAAGTCTGAGATGTGAGACCAAAAGACAAATTCTTTGCAAACAACATCAAATCTCTCTGAAGGGGATTTAGACAGACCAGGGTTTAAAACTAAAGACCCCCACTCCATCGATCAGTCAGACCCCTCCATCCCTCTCCAGTCCTCCATTTCTTCCCCTGTCCTGTGAGTCGGCCAGGTCCACCGACTCCACACAACCTGTTCTCCATTTTAGAAAGAGATGTTAATTAGCTGAGGCAGAATTATGAAGAAACAGCTGGACGGGCCACGTTTCCCGCCCACTGGTGTTCAGACATTTTAAAACCTCACTGGAGATGCCAGCCTGCTACATAGCCTTCACCATTTTCCATGTCCCCCCCCCAAAAAAACCAAGGACCACAGGGCTGGATGACCACCGATCTCTGTGGTAGTGAAGTCCTTTGAGTGCCTTGTCGTGACCCACCTGAAATTCATCAATGACCCACTATTGGATCCATTCCAGTTCCCCTGCAGAGCCAACAGGTCTGTGGGTGATGCAGTAATCATGGCTCTCCACCACATCCTGCAGCACATGGACCCTCCAGGAACATACACCAGGATCATGTTTGGGGATTTAAGCTCTGCTTTCAACAACACCATCCCAACCCTTCTGCAGGATAAGCTCTGCCAGCTTGACGTGTCCAACTCTACACACAAGAACCAGCACAGATTGTCTCCTCATTGTTCCCTCTCTGCTCTTCTCCCTGTACACCAACACTGAAACGTCCAGTCGCCACTCTGTCATGCTCCTAAAGTTTGTGGATGATGTGATGAGCCAGAGCAGTCTGGAGCTCAGCACTCTGTAGACAGCAGAGATGTTCATGGACATCTGCACTTCTAGTTTTCCATCTTTGAGTCCATCTTCTCATCCTCAGGCATCATCTGCTTACTCCCCAAGGGACAAGAGCAGACTGCAGCATATATTGGCTCTGCAGACAGAGCCAATATATGCTGTATGATTGCTTATCTATGTGTGGTGCCTCATCACCAAAACAATTTCCTTGTACTGTACATGTAAAAACACTACTTGGAAATAAAGCAGCCATAATCATTGTTGTCCACCATCTTCCAGCAGCTTATACCAAAACGGAAACTTGAATTATAGGAAATACTCTCCACATTTTATATAAACTTTTTTGGCACTATAAGGAGCCCTAAGAATACTGTTATTCTTTATATCATTATTAGTAAGGAAAGTACTCACACATCCATTAACTTGTCAGTGAAATCTGAATGTTTTCACATCCAGCTCCCATTTCTGTGAACACCATTGTTCATGTTTTCCCCCCCTGTTGGCATCCAGTATCTTTATAAGCTTTCCCACACATGACACTTGGACATTTCCTCTTTCTTTTCACATCTTCGTCCGGCTTTGCCGACTCACTTAGCCTCATTGTTTCTCCCGTAGGCATGACATTTGGCTCTGTTTATCATACCACTGCTACATATATGGTTTGGTTCTGGTGAATATACACCAAGGTCTTTGTTTACCAAGGGAGCTAAAGCAAAATGTGAACACAGAAAAAAACTAAGTCAACAGGGTTTGACAATTTAATTGGAAAGTGTCTGTCATATTAAATTACTAGGCCTCATTAAGGTACTTCAGGCCCCCTCTGATGACAACTTTTGAATTATGCCTACAACACTGCCACAATTCTAGCGCGGCATGAACCTTGCAGAACATCTATGAGGTATTTTCCTGAGGAACATGAGAGACACCAGAGATCCCACCATGCACACAACCTAGAGACTGTAATCTAAGCACACTGAGCTTACTGAACACAGCCAAAGATGATGATCACATCATGACACATCCCATTGATACAGTAATTCATGCCACAGGAGCCCTGCAAGTGGTTAGTGTAAATGCATGGGCATACCTTTTACATTTTTTGTTAAATGCATTGATTTATCTGAGTTATGCACTATTGTAATTCGGAATAAACAGAATATAGCGTTTTTAGTGGATGAAAACTATAATGATAAAAACTAATAGCAATAAATTGTAAATAAATCAATGGCCTATGAACCTTTTGAATCAAATGATAACTTTTCAATCTTATCCAAATATAAGCACATTTGTTATGAAATGCTCTGCTGGAATAGTTGAGTAAATTTCTCCAGGTTGTTCAAGATGCCAAAGGTAACCAGTTTCTTTAAAGTTTCTTTGTTAATGGAAGCTGATGATGCGGGTCCTTTGTTTTAGGTGAATTTGAAATCAGGCACCAACATCTTATACTGGCGGACAGGAGGAGTTGTGATGGGGTCCAATGTGGTGAAGCCTGTACTGCTGAAAAACATTCAGATTGAAGGTTAGAGACCAGTGAATCTCTTGTGTTGGTTCTATAATGTTGGGAAAATATTAAATGAGACTTGTACCTGATATTTACCTCTTTTTTCATCTCGCCTTTCCCCTCAAAGGTGTAGCCTACACATCAGAGTGTTTCCCCTGTAAACCAGGAACATTCAGTCGCACCCCAGGCTCCTCCACGTGTGAATCCTGCCCTCGGAACTCCTACTCTGGCCATGGAGCCAGTTCATGCACTCCATGTAACACAACCATTCAGTATGCAGGTATGGCCCAGTTTTATGAATAATAAAGAAAAATGCTGCCAAGTTCACTATATTCCAATGTGCAATGTTGACAACTTTCTGTGTTTGCTCGCTCTGAAGCGCAAAAAACAACTGAAGGCATAATTTGACTACGGAACCTGGAACATTTTTCCAGGGACTTGTTTTTTAACCGCTTCTTTTCTCGCCATAGATCAGGTCACAGCGGTTACACTTTATTACTACTATTGCTATATATGGCGATGCAACGAAGTCCCTGCTGAGCAGCTGGTCTAGGGAGAAAGAGGCGTTCTAAACATGCATTATTTTCAGAGCCTTTATATCTTAAACTGTGATAACTGCTTTAAAATAAAATAAAGTTTAAGTATTTACAAATATGTTATAAACAAACTTAAACAGAAACACTTAACAGATTGTATCAAACTGCTGTGTGATATCAAGGAGCATCACCTCATCTGTTAATGAGCTAGGAGGCCTTGGTTTTTTTTTTTTTTTTTTTTTTTTACTGTTAAGCATCTAAAACCCTAAGATAAGATTATAAGTGAAGGATTTTCTCCAGCTGGCACTCAAAAGACACTGATCATTAAAAATATCTTTCAGTTACTGTAAACAGAAACTCCAAGTTGGCAGTGTGAACACAGAGAGGAGAAAAATACCCCAACCCCAAATAAAAGGCTCCTTGTTGGAAATCTGCCTTAAAGCTTTCAAATAGTTTTTATTTTTTTATTTTATTTAGACCATATTAAGTAAATGTTAGAAGTTGCAATATGGTGAAACATCAAGCTTTTTTTTTTTTTTTTTAGAAGAAAGTTTAAAGCTTTCTTCGATGCTTTTGTGGGCAGTTGCTTCCATTTCTCCAGTGTCCAATCCTCATGTCATAAAAAATGCAGGCAGCCATGTCAGTTGTTTATGGATTTTTAAAATGTGAGCTCCAAAAAAAAAAGTCTGTGTGTCACTGAATTGTTCCTTTCCACTTTACAGACAGCAGATGCTATAAATAATAAAGAAGGAAATTAAGTTAAAATTATTACATGCAGCCACATTTTTTGTCAAAAGATTCTCATTGATTGGTGTTTTACTTTTTCACTAATCTACCAAAAAGAGCTGCATTTAATAGAGTTATTGTAATGCACAATGTAAGATTATCGTTCTTTAACTGGACTTTATAGCAAACTGTTCTTCACTGGTGCTAATTTATTTTTTTGCCTTGGATACCATCTTGCCAAACAGAGGAAGGATCGTCCGAATGTAAGAACAGACCGCCTTGTTCCAAAAAGGACTTTTTCCAGATCCACACACCATGTGACCATGAAGGCAAGGTGAGGACGAAGAGTCCACCTTTCAAACATGCAGAGTAGACATGTCATATGATCGCAGTTTGTTTTAATTGTCCTTGTGTAATTTCAGACCCAGGTCATATATAAGTGGATCGAACCAAAGATCTGTCTGGAGGGAGTCTCTGGAGCCGAGTCGCTGCCTGAAGGTGGTGAACAGGAGGAATGTCCCCCCTGTAACCCTGGTTTCTATAACAATGACACGGCCACCTGCTCCCCTTGTCCGACTGGGACGTACTCTGATGGGTTAAAACGTAATAACTTGTGATTATGTCTTCTTTCTCACCATCATCCTGTTTTGTATTTTTCAGAATACCCATCTGTGGTTTTTAAACTTGTTTTAATTTTCCAGCATGTCAGCAGTGTCCAGCAGGGACTGAGCCCGTTCTGGGTTATGAGTACAAATGGTGGAATGTTCTTCCATCAAATATGAAGACTTCCTGTTTCAATGTGGGCAACTCGAAATGTGATAGTATGACTGGTAAGTAATCAGACATATTTCTTCATTTTAGCTTTTCTTATGCATTTTACTTTCTCACCCTCTGCTTACTTAATCTTTTTGCATTGAATTAAAGTCGTACTGCTTACTTTGAAGTCCTGCAGGGGTTTGGCTCTAAATTATAAAGTAGATCTGGTTGGTTTCCATGACTTCATACCGCTGCGTTCAGCTGGACAGATTCTGATAAACATACTCTGAAAGTGACAAAAAATGACTGGTTATTTTAAAGATGGGATTTTAATATTGGATTCCTTAGAACCTTTATTAGACTAAAAGTCCGTTTTTAAGGATGTTTTAATATTTTTAATATTAGTTTTATGTATAGCCTTTAAAGAATTGAAGCTTGGCTTTAAGTGTCCCTATTATCTTTATTAATAGGTCTTAATTGTTTTACCCGAATGTTGTATTCTGTTCAAGTGTGACTTTGTTTTTGGTCTGATTGATTCTGCTGAGTCTCATAATGTATTTGAATCTTTACTTTTAGTAATGTGAAAGATTATTATTTTTTTTTTCAATTTTGTTTCTTCTTTTTCTATATGATTATACTTTATCAACGCATTAAACAATGTTCTTTTCTATCTGATTATACTGATTTATCACTCGTTTTACTTTATATTGATCTTTTTTTAAGGGTGTTAGATTATTGTTTTATTAGAAGCTAAAATGTTTTTCAAATGATCAGGTATTTATCTGCACAGTTGGCTTCCAATGGTCCAGATTTTCTAGGAATCTTGATTAATCTAAACCCACATACAAAAGTTTTATCTTTTTAAAAGCCAAATTTGAAACTCATAGGAACCACACAGTAAAATGTTTAGAAAAATCTAGTGTCTAACTGTAAATCTGGTCAGAATATCTGGAATTGTATTGATAAATGGATCTAAAACACTACTGAAGTTGGTCTCCACTAAAGGGACGTTCTTACTCAGGTGCCTTATTGTGTTGGTGTAAATCTATTTACATTTCAGTGTAAATCTAATGTAAATAATGCATCTAATGTAAATAACATTGATAAACTGTCCACTTGACACTGAAATAAAATAGAAAGATCCTAATATCAAATGTCATAACATCATTAATCAAGCCTATAATATAAATATAGTCTATCTTAATAAAAGGGAATAAAATGTCTAGAACAAAATAAATGCATAGCCAAAGTAAAATAGTAAAACTTAAAATTTAGAATTTTCTGTCAGAAAAAAAAAATACTTATCTAAATTGAATTGAATTACAATACTGCAATGATATAAAACATCCTCAATGACCTTACCTGGAATTTGTGAAAGTGACACAGGTGACAACTATATATATCAAGGTAAAAATAAAAAAAAAAATACATTTTCTCCCCATGAAAAAAACAACTGAAATATTGTTTTTTATTTCCTTATCATTGGCAGCTTTAATAGTATATGAACATGTCTAAATTAAATAAAAGCTAAATTACACGTGATAATTTCTGTGTATCTATTTGTTTTAAATAAATTTGAAATTTTGATAATTCATGCACAGATATTGGAAAACAGAACCCTTAAACAGGGATCCACCTTTTGAATTTTTTTTGTGTTTTTTTTTTGGTGCCCTCAGCTGCTCCAAGCCAGACCTCTCTAGTATATTAATAAGCTTTGACAGCGTCTGAATAAAAAAAAAAGAATAAAGAAAAACATCAAACAAAGGTCAAGACAGCCAAGTTTTCCATTAGACAGTGTTTGAAAATAAAAAAATATACCTTCTTATAGCAACAGCGAAAAATAAGCTGAAAATTTTTTTTAAAGCAAATATGGAATTTCATTTGGGATGAATAAAGTGTTATTACTGAATTAGATTTAAAACAAATTAATAAAACTATATCTGGTTTCCTATTTTTAGGCTGGGAAGCAGCAAGAGATCATATCCACAGTGGAGCAGGCAGCTCTGATAATGATTATCTCATCCTTAACATCCACGTTCCTGGCTTCAAGTGAGTAAAGTCACACCATGACTCCCGTAGCCTCTTAGCTCATCTTTTCTCTCAGTTGTGATGACGCCTTCTTCTGTTTCCTTTCACCATCAGGCTGCCTACGTCAGTGTCGAGCCAGTCAGCGGCAGAATTTGGTCGAATCACATTTGAGTTTGAGACTTTGTGCACTGCTGACTGTGAGTTCTACTTCATGATGGTGAGAACAACTTCTGACACAGCATTGCTGCTCTGCACATAAAAACAAAAATGCTGGTAGAGTAATTTCAAATGTATTTTTTAGGATATTAATAGAAAGAGTACTACAGTTGTGCAGTCATGGGAGAAATCACAAAAAAGGCAGACCTACACCCATATCATGACAAAAAATGCCCCCGTTTCCTACACATGGGCTTTCCAGAGGACAAACCAACCCTCAGACGTAAGTACTGTATATGTAAACGCCTTTAGACATGGTCACCTAAGGGCTGTTTAGAAAACAATATACAACTGCTTTACTTACATGCCAGTTCTGTTTCATGCTGATATTTTCAGGACTCCTTTTAGTCAAAATAAAGGGCTGTTTTTTTTAATTATAAGCTGCTTTTTTAAGGTTAAGCACATTCCTGTTTCTAAAGGAATTACTTAAATCAATTAGTTTCTTAAAAACCCTCAAAGCAGATTATAAAAGAGGCAATAGAATCTTGGGGATCATAAAACTCTCTGTGTTGCATTAAATTCAAATAAAATAAGTGTTTTCCAGCCAGAGTTGCTGTCATATTTCCATTGATTAGTTCAAATCTGATCCTCGCAGAGCCTATTTCAGGAATGGTCATGGAAAAAAAAGCTAAAGGAGGGCTTCAGGTGGCTCAAGACATTGAAATTGTTTTGAATGAGAAAGCTTTTTTATTTTTCAAATACAACAAGGCCAAATAAAAGTAGGTAAAACAGGCGGTGTACTTTTTAGGACATTTTTTTTTTTTTTTTTGGATAAACAACTTCTCACTTTACTCATCAATGTCAGTAAATACTCATAAAGTAGAACATAAAACAATTCTCAATTGTTTTATAAGCAGATTTGAACTTTATGATATAAATGAGAGCGTTGTTTTTTCAAAACGCATTAGACTTCATCCATAATCCTATTAAATCTTTTAAACACAATGGTGTTAATATTGTGGTTTGGCTGGTGTTGCAAATAGATATTGTATACATATATATTGTGTACATATATATAAAAAATATTCCCGGATAATTCTTCATTTAAAGTTTAAACACAGTACTCTGGGTCAGAAAGACAATTCCAGAATAAAAACATTCCCAAGTCCCAATATTCACTCAAAACCAGTAAGGATTATTTTCGATCCCTAAATTTAGAGAACCTTTATACTCAATATGAAGCTGTTTGTAATATAATACCTTCCGTGCAACTTGTAAAACCGCTCCACAGTTGGTTTGTAGAACGCTCCCTGCTTTAAGACTTTTGTTTTTAGACTTAGATTTAGAAAACTTTTAATGCCATTTTGTATGCACAGAGTTTATGCAAAACAAAATTTCCTTTAGTACACTTTTCATGCTATTTGCATTTCTTAAAGTGCAGCAGTAATCAAATGTAAACAGTGTGGGAGAAAGAAAAAATGGTGCAAAAAACCCCCCATATTGTTATGAAAGTTCAGAGCATTAAGTATATATGGTGCAATTAGACAGTGTTTTGGTTTGGTGTTATCAGTGTGATTCAGAGTCTGTGACGTGATATTTATCTACAATATCTGACACACACTATTGAAACAACAAATGTGCTGCTTTACCTTTGGGCATGCACATGATCTGGTATGACATGGGAACATTGTAAACAATAAACTTATAGCTACATGGAGAGAAATGCATCAGAATCTCTAAATAAAAGATGTTACCAAATTCTTGTATAAAGTAATTTCTTATTGCAGTCACATAATCTCACTATAAAAACTATATTTCCCTAAAACATTTTAGAAGGATGGAGCATAAAGAGAGAGCAATCTTCGCTGTTGTTTAGCTCATCTTCTAGGGTTTCTTTAGATTTAATGCCTGCAGTCTGAGATGACAATGTAAGAAGTTCTTATCGTGTGAATAGAGTCATTGGGGACCTATTGTAATTAATTGTTTCTAAGCGACTGGAACCTTCTTTCTCATCTGTTTCTAAGATCTGTTGATCTGGTCACAATATATTGCTTTTTGGATCCTTCAGCCCTTTTCATCTCAAGTTCTTTTTAAGATGGTTCACGTTTCTATAGGTGTGTGGCTAGTGAAGCTGACCAAAGAAAAAATATTCAGAATTTAAAACAAGGCAAACATTTCCTTTAAAATAGATCTGGGTTGGTTTGGTTAGAAAAAGATTAAGGGAGTTTTCTTCCAAAATAAAGTTTCATATAACCATGATCATTATCATAAAGCATGTTTCTCTCTAAGGTTAGGTTCACTAAAAGGGGTTTAATGCTGTTTTAATCCTCTAGGTACGTCAATATGTCAATGACGTGGCGCGCATCTACTCCATCACTGTTACCAACGCCATTGATGGCGTGTCCTCCAGCTGCCGGGCTTGTGCCCTAAGCACCCAGCCCTCCAGCTCGGCATGCGTACCCTGCCCACCTGGACATTACATTGACTCAGTCAGCAGCAAGTGCTTAGAGTGTCCACGCAACAGTTACCTCGAAGCTCACGGAAAAGTGGGCTCGGATTCGTGCAAAGCATGTGGTCCAGCTAGCAGGAGCGACAAGGTTTGTGAATCAAGCTGTTATAATCTGCTCTCATTTTCCGGATGCCTGAAAGGAAAACTCACCATAAAACTATGTCTGTGCTTTTCAGGACCACAGACTGTGTTACAGTGATTGTCACTTCACCCATACAGAGGGCAATGTCACGTTAACTTTTGACTTCAGTCTGCTCGGTTTAGCCGGATCCTTGATGAATGGTCCAAAGTTCACCTCAAAGGGGACCAAATATTTCCACATGTTCAACATCAGTCTATGTGGAGGACAGGTGTGCATAGAAAACAACACCTACACAGAACAGCGAAGAACTCTACAGTTAAAGGCTTTTATTCACAGATGGAATTCCTCTGCCTTCTTCTCTCCATTTAAGGATCGCATGGCGGTATGCAGAGACAACGTTTCAGACGTGTCAATCTCCAGCTCCCAGAGCGAGAAAGCGGAGGGATCCAGTGCTGTGAAGACCTTCATCTGTCAATCAACAATAATCCCAGCAAGCAGACAAGGATTCTCCTCTGCGCTGTCTTCTCAGTCCATTAACCTGGCTGACACTTTTCTCGGTAAGTGAACATTGGATCACTTACCGAGAATAATCAGAATAACTCCATTTGCTGTTCTTTCTTTGCTCCAACCCTGTTTTTGCTTTGAAAATCTACAGAAATGCATTAAAAACTGAAGTTACCGAATGTGTATAATGTCAGTTTTTTAATCGTATACCTGCTTATCAATTAAAGATCCTGCATGGATCACTGGAAACAGAGATACACAGGACAAACAACCACACTCCCATGCACCCATAATGAAGGGGAATGTTTGGGGATATATTAACCTAACAGTGATGTTTTAAATTGCCAGCCAGAGAGAATCCAATCCTGTATAGGGACACAATTTAATAAAGACCCTAAAACAGCAGACCCTCTTTTTGCAGGACAGTAGTACTAACCGATGTTCCATTTTGTAGTCCTGCTTATATCTTATTATTAATTTTGTGTTTTTTTTTTCTTTTAGGTGCAACTGTGGATGATAATCTTGAGGGAATAAAAGCCATGCCAGACTTGTTTCCCCGGAAGTCTAAGAAAGTGCCTGATGTTAACTTCTTCTACAGGTATTTTTCTCATATCAGATATTTTTTGGCAAATAAAATATCAAAGAAGGAAAATGTTTACTTTTCTGTCTTTACTTGATTTCTACTCTTTTATTTCCCTTCATTTATATTTTTTAATTAATTAAAAGTGCTTGTCTTTATACTGAATTGTGCTATATGAATAAACTCGCATTGCCATGACTTCTTTTCCTAAGATCACTTGAAGGAACTTCGTCCTGCGAATCAGGTCGAAGTGCAGTGGTGACCCTCCGCTGTAATCCCGATATGAGCACTCAAGGAACACTGTCGGTTCCCAGGTATTACTTTCCACTTTTTCCGCATTTAATGCCTTCACTGCAGCTAAAAATAAGTTTGACCTTAATCGTGGTTATTAAGGTTGCAAACATTAGTGCTGTTTTTAATGTTGAAGTAATGAGGTCTGCTTTCGGCCATTCCAGTCAGTGCCCTGAAGGAACATGTGACGGCTGCACCTTCCATTTCTTTTGGGAGAGCTCAGGAGCTTGTCCGACATGCACCGCTAGAGACTACCATCTGATAGAGGGAGTCTGCAAAGGAGGACAGCAGGTGTGTTTTTGTGTTTCCATGGTGTTAATTATAGGAGAGCATTTCTTTTGGCTGTTTAGTCTAACAAATTAAGCTTTAAATAAATGTGAATTTGAATTAGAAAAGTGAAACACCCATTTTAGATCCTGGTTAGTCCCTTTTATGTTCATTATTTTTCTTTAATTCTATGAATATGTGTTTTTTCTCAGGACATGCTGTATGTGTGGACTGAACCCAAGCTGTGTATAGGGGGCGCCAGCTTGCCTGAAAAGAAAACCGTGCCTTGCGAGGGTATGGAGTTCTGGGTTCGGCTTGGTGCAGGGACGGGGATTTTCACTGCCGTGCTGCTCATCTCTCTCACCTGCTACTTTTGGAAGAAGAATAAACGGTACTTTTCTCCAGAGTTTTCTCCCTCTGGCTTTAGCAGAAACACCTTTTCACTCCAATATTTTTACCAATATTTCTCTGATTCCTTCTTCCTAAAGCGTTTTATTATTCAGCGTTTTTTTCATTATGGTTCCATCATGAATGGATTTTCTATACTGACTTCACTTCCTTGGATTCTCTCCTTTATTTTTCAATTTTAGCTGCTCTTTTGACATTAAATTTCTGTTTGTTTTTTTTTTACCCTTTTTGAAAAAAAAAATCTTTCCTATTACACACCTGAATAAAAAATTAAGACCAGTTGAAAACTAGTAAGAATTCACATCTTGCACTGTTGGATTTTAATGAATTTTTTGGAAGAAATACAAAAGCAAGGGAGGGAGTGAAACAAAAAAAAAAGTAGAGTAAGCAATTTATTGAAAACAACAATTAAACTGAAATACATTAAACATTTAAAACCACATAAAAAAACAAAAACAAAACAAACCCTCTGAAATAGAAACACATTCAAAGAAGGACTCAGTAATGAGTATCTGTGCATTCTTGGTAATCACTTGAAAATTGATTTGCACCAGGCTTGATGCGAGTGTTTTCTGGAGACTAGAGTGAATGTTGATCTGTCTGCTAGAGAAATCTGCACAAAGGGCATCTATTGTAGTGTAGTTCTGTCCACTTCCCCGGCCATCCAACCTCAAATAAAAAACAAGTTCTTACCTCACAGATAATTAGGGATGCCCCCTGCAATATCCCCACAGAGCAAGCTGCCATTTGATGGCTCTACACAACTTGAAGTTCCATTGAAGGAAAGAGCCCCCAGATCATGATGGAGCTTAACCTTATGCTGCAAGCTGGATTGTTGCAAGATCTAAGTTTTCAGTCTCACAACAAATCCATCTTGAAAGACTCTAATAGGGATTCGTGCAGGATTGCCTTTGAGTCAATGAGTCAATGCAATCAACTGGTTTTCCTTAGATAGAAAACTTTGTATCAATTTGACTGTATGATCTGGTGAACTGTAAAGTGCCTTGAGATGACATGTGTCGTGAATTGGCGCTATAGAAGTAAACTTGAATTGAATTACATTAGTACATCCGTCTTGTAACAACCAGCGGGTCGGACCAATGACATGTCAGCAGTGTTTTTGGGGGCGGGACATGTAGGAATGATGACAGTCAGAAGGGCTTGTCAGGGCATTACAAACATGGCTACGCTGGAGGACTAGCCTGTCGATAGGTTTTAGCTAAAATAGCCACAATTTCTCGTTTATAAAAGGAGCAAAGAGAAAAACTTTGTGCATTTGTAGATGGGAAAGATGTCTGTGCCTTTCTTCTGACAGGATTTGGAAAAAGTTTGATTTATCAGCTTTCTCCACTAGTTGTGAAAACACTTAACGTCACAATTTGCGGCTACGATCGGCTGAAAGCGCATTATGGAAGGCAGGTACTAGCTGGCACTTCACCTAGTCAGCTCGAAGTATTGTACTAAACGTCCCTGCTTTTCATGGACAAACTAAACGGCAGCCATCCCAGATTGATAACGTACTGTAGAACTCAACTCAGATCTACACAGATCAATCTGGCTACTGCCAGGTTAGATGGATCTCCTTGTGTTGTTTTCCGACTACACCTTGTCATGCCAGTATCAAGGTTTAAAGGAGCATCAAGGTTTCATGTTTTTTATAACTGCAGGATAAAACTGTCTTCCACCTTTTAATGTCCCATGTTTAGGTCTCTCTGTTTTCCTATTTTCCTGCCTTTATTTAATTTTTTTTATTTCTTCTCTCTTGCCATATTTCTTTTTATTTTATTTGTTTTTTTTCTTTCTGTTTTCTTATGTTGCTCCTTTTTGATATAAATTGTCTTCTCCTTTTTCTTTTTTGGATGACATTTTGTTCTTCACTTTCCCCTCTTGTCACATCAGTTGTTCGTTTTAAAACTGGACCCACATCCTTTTCTGGTATTGATTCTCTTGCTTTTCTCTTTGTAAGGTTGGAATACAAGTACTCCCGGCTGGTTATGTCTGCCAATAAGGAGTGTGAAATGCCAGTGGCTGACAGCTGTGCTGTGATGGAGGGAGAGAATGAGGGAGACATGGAGGATGAAGTTGTGTACACCAAACCTTCACTGCTTGGCAAACTGAAAGCAATAGCATCTAAGGTGAGAGCTGTTGCATTATCACAGAAAGTAATGTCTCACTGTGCTAAAGTTCTAAGACAGCTGCACTATAAACACTGTTTCTTCTGCTTTCAGGGAAATGGGCAGCGTTATGAAAATGTGCAGCTGAACTCGTTCTCATCAAAGGCGTTGGTGTGGAGTTAAAGCCCTGCAAACAGGAGCTGCAAGGACGAAAAAAAACTTCGCTCTGGGTGATCCACCTTAGAGTGTCCCTCTTATGAGCTTTGGTACCTGGAATACCACCTGTGTGTACATAAAAAAATACACTCTGCATAAAAAGCCAGATTAAAAGAAGTCACAATAAGATGGTGGCCTTATAGCTTGGTACCGTAGAGCCATAGTACTGTGACACAGGTGTGTATGACACACATTTTTTGGCTTATCTTTTTGCTGGAAAATGTTTTTAGAAAGCTCAGGGTAATACAAGGACCTATATGAGTTCTTGTTCAGTTCGATGTATATTTATTTAATTCTGTGTCATGTTTTATTTCCTTTGATTGTGGAGATCCAGATGTCAAGACACACAAAAACTGTGTGTGTTTCCATATCCTGTAGATGCACTCTGACTGGCTTTGTTTTCTCATATGTGTGTGTGTTTGACTCTTTTGTTTCATTGAAGTCATTTTGGTGGGAAGATAAGTAGGACTAAAAATGAACCTGCTGTATTAAGCTGTTAATATTGTGCTCCAAATAAATGACATATTTATGTAAAATCGACTCTGTGTGATTCAATTCAGTTTCAATTCAATTCAGTTTATTTCTATAGCGCCAATTCCCAACACGTCATTTCAAGGCACTTACAATTTAACCAGATCATCGAGTCAGATTGATTCAAAGTTTTCTATCTAAGGAAAGCCAGTTGATTGCATTGACTCGAAGGCAATCCCTCATAATAAGCATGCTTGTAGCAACAGTGGAGAGTAAAAACTCCTTTTTAACAGGAAGAAACCTCCAGCAGAACCAGGCTCAGTGTGAACAGCGCCTGCCGAGGCCGACTGGGGTTCAAGGAGATAGAAGCAGAGATACAAAAGTTAACTGTCAACCAGCTCCACAGGCTTTGATTAAATTGTCATGTTTCAAAGTTGCTTTAAGAAATCTCTCACTATGATGGCTTTACATGACTGTATTTGTGTTTTTACTCATAAGTCATGTTGGTGAGAAATTCATACCAAAGGAAACAATCAATAGTATACTGTATTTAGAACATGGAAGATCTTACTTTAGAGTAAAAATAAAATATTTCATTATGGAACTTACTGTATGTGGAAAGCAATGTTAAATGATCTGATGCTTGGTGTCTGCTCCACAGAGTAAAGAATGCTTACTTTGTTTAAAAAGATTTTGAAATGGGAAATAAGAAGTACAGATAGAGAAAATACTTTGGGCAGGGCCTTAGATACAATCACATTCAGCTAATTACCACATGGCATTAAAGCATATATAGCCATATTTTTCTTACTAATATTAAGTCTGTTTTAGTTCAGATATCAAAATCTGTTTACTGAATGAGAATCATTAAAACTTTCAAATCAAAAATGAAACATTTCCCTTATTTTATTTTTGTATAATTGCCTTTCAAACAATGAAATCTTTTGGTTATCTTCTCACCAGCTTCTCACAGTAATTTACTAGAATTATGTCCATTCTTTTTTTAAATTTCGTGCAGCTGAATCATGTTTGTGAAACTAACTTGCACACACAAATTTTTATCTCTGCCCACAAATTATGAATAAGGCCGCAGCTTTGTCATGGCCACATGTATATATTGAGTTTATTAATTTATGTGATTGAAATCATTGCTTGTAAGGCGTTTTCATGATGACGTTTTAACTTTTAGCTGGAAGGCTTAAGCTGTTTGAATATATGCAAATATTTTTTTTATTTTTCTCATGATTCCATCTGTTTTGAGTAAATAAACCCTGACCCTCCTGCTTTAATATATTCCTACAACATGACGCTGCCGTCCTTGTACTTCATAGTTAGGATTTTGCTCCAGGGCCTTTCCTTTTATAATGCAGCCTGACATGTAAAGCAACTAACCTGAAGTAGTGACCAAAGTTAACCACCAGAGGGCGATCTTTCCAAAGGTAAAAGGCCTCACTCCTCACCCTGCTCGGTTTATGTAAACTTTAAAATGATGATGCAGCCCTAAAAGATTAGAAAAGCCTTTTATTAAACCAACATCAAATTAAACAAATGATGCTATGATGTTAAACAACATTTGTTTTCTGAAAGTCAGTTTTGTAGTATAAAGTAAGATTTTGCAAAAACAAAATTTTAAATGTTCCTTTATATTGTATTTTTACCCCTTTTTCCCTCTTTCATTTTTTCTCTCTTTACCAGGCTGATATTCTTCACTGGTATGCATTGTCCTAGTGCAGGAAACTCTCCAGTAGATGGTTTAATTGGAGTGTTTTTATTTAAGGGAACAGATCAGGCAAGGTGTTAGAGCCAACAAATGCTGTGAATCCTACATGGCACACATGGCAAAGAGAGGGAGGAGGAAACAACAGCTGATGTTTACTTCATGGTCTTTATTATGATGTCATCACAGCCTCTTTATTGCACATTTCATAAATGCAGGAGCTATTGCTTTTTGTGACCAGCCAGTTCCAAGAGTTCAGATTGATATCCGTTTCGCTTTGTCTCTTGAGTTCTCTTCTTGTTTCAAAGCCCAGAGGCCAGGGACACATTCTGCTATATAGAGGGGGTGGCGGGTAGACCTTTGTAAAAAGAAATGACAGTTGGCAAAGCCTGAAAAGAGGAACAGTGTCCTTAATAGATTGCCATTTGTAAAGGATATTCATGAGGAAAACCAATTAAAGAAGTTTCCCAATTAATTTATGGAGGAGATGAGATGATCATTTCCGTGAAAGTAATGAGAATTAAAGCAGCAATGTGTTCCTTTACATCTGAGTTTTCAATTCAATTCCTCCACCATTCATTTTCCAAATCATTTGTTTGACATCCCTCCATTTCTTTTCTAACCTTGTCACAGCAGCTTCCATGTCATGTGCTTTAGAAGACCGCTTCAGTTCAAGTTTAAGCCACCAGTCTGTTGCTCTGGCTTTGGTGGTCTTGGCTGAGACCGAATCAGTCACAAGTTTCACACACAGAGTGGAGATGGGGTGCACAAAAGGTGGTAAGGGAAAGGTTGAAGGGTGAGGCGGACTGTGAGAGAGAGGGTCAGGGAAGAGTGTGAGACTGTTGTCTTGGACTGGTCCCTGGACTAAATGACTGGAGAATCAGGGTTAAGTGCTCTGTTTGTGTGCCTATTAAAAAGCCGTGAGTACAGGGCCCTAAAGAGCCCAATCTCATTGGTGTCTGCCAACTTGGATCAGAACCTTGAACCCAGTTTTTCTCTCTCTCTTTCTGTCTCTCTTTACTCAAGCACTCCTCATCCCTTCTCCCAGTTTTTCTCTTCATGCTGCCAACTAAGACATTCCAGTGTTGGATGTGTTAGTTGTGGTTGTCCATAGCAACCTGTCATGTGGTGTGTATCTGGAGGGAGCAGGACCACAGAGTGAATGGCTAAACCTTCTTCTAACAAACACTGTGAATCTGTGGGATGCTTTGAGCTTCCACAGAGGCGCTGCCGACTTCTGGGGTCTGTGAGTGCTTTACATAATCCAGCAGGAACAGCAGCATCTCTGCCACATCGCTGTCTCTTGCTGCTCTCTGCACCTAATAAACACACCCCAATGTAGGTCGCCTCCTCTTGACACAACCTTTGAAATCCCTTCTATCATTTAGTTCAGTGAACACAGGAGGCTGTGCAAACATGCTGACCACTCAGAAGATGGAATCTAAAAGTTCTGCAAACATCTACTTTGTATTTGACAAAAACACTGCTTTGAAAAAAGTTATTCTGATCATTTTTTTGGTTAAAACATCAAATGTAACAGTCATACTTTATTTTAGACAGCATATAATATGTAAACATTGAGATCAGTTTTGTGAAAAATATTCCTAACAAAAACTGCAGGACAATTAAATTAAATGTGATAAATTACTCTGCTATCTTTAGCTGTTAAAGTTTCCATCTAAGTCACTTTTTTATATTAAATTTATTCAGTAATTTTAAGAATCACATCCAAACATTTACATCTGTATGAATGAGAAAATCCCCTTTTTCTGGGGGCTGTGCATATCTGTTCTACTCTAACATCTATTGCTGGCGTGGATCAGCCAGCAGCTGACAAAATGTGCTGTCCTTCGTCTCCTGAGCCTCTGTGGGACTGCCAAAGCCAGCTGCTCCACTGTGCTTCCCAACATAAACACATTTTAACACAAGCTTGTAAACTGCACACTTCAACAAGTCAAATACCCTCTGAATTCCTCCTAATGATGTAGCCTGTTTCCCCTTCTCTTCCCTCTTTTACCTGCAGCTACTGAGGTGATAGCAGGAGGACAAAACACAGACCTAAATATATTTTTTCTAAATATTCTTTGTTTTTCAGACTCAAGGAACCCACTTAAAACGTGTGATTTGTTAGAATTCCTGGACCTTTACTTCACATAAAATAAACCTGCTGCCATAGACGCATTGTCTTCATACTGAGGCCACTTTTTTACATCAACCAAACAAAGACTTTGAGCTGGTAGTGTAAATCTGATCTCTAACAACAATTATCTATCAAACACAGATTAAGGCACATAGCCATATTGAAAATATCAAACCAGACGGTATCTATGGGGCATGAATTAGAAGCTACTACTCCCCTAAAGGTGGAAAAAGTCAACGTGTGTTCAGCAAAACATCCCCTTTTTCTTTAGCGACATACTTTCTCAGTTTAGGAACCCAAAGTTCATATAGTGCTTTGCAAAAGTATTCTTGGGACATTGGAACATCAATATACTTTATTCATATTTTATATTGTGGAAATTCATAATTACATAACTGGGTAGTGCAAAGAAACAGATGTGTGGTTTTATAAAAAAAACTACTAAAGATATATTTGTTACTCATGCACTTCTCTAACCCAACCATAATGGAAGAGTAGCAAGGAGAGAGTCACTCTTTAAAGGAAGTAACACAAAAATTCAGAATTACTACCAAAAAACATGTATGGGAAATAATAAAAGAAAAAAGATAAAGAGGGTCTACTGGTGAAATAAGACCAACATTAAACTTAAAGCCAATTTCTGAAATTTAATCTGTTGTGGAAAATGTGAAACAGGGTGATGGATGCATTATGTTGTGGGAAGGCCGTTCTTAAGCAGGGATAGGGAAGCTCATAAGGTCCATGGGAAGATGGGCTCATCTTGAAGAAAAGCCTCTCAAAGGCTGCAAACGGCTGTACTTTGAGTTTAAACTTCACATTCAAACAGATAACGACACTAAAAATACATAAATACATTGGGATTGCCTAGATTAAATCAGTACAATTATTTTTTCCATTTAAAGTCCAAGCTTAAAATGGAGAATTAAAACTTGACTATTGCAGTTCACAAACGATATTCATTTTGAATGATGGGCAATAATTTCAGTTTCCAGATGATAAGCTGGTAGAGAGAAACTCCAAAGAACTTGAAGTTGAATGCAGCTTAATGTAATTTTAGAAAGAGACTCTTTTATAATATTTTAGTTGTACAGAATGTTAAAACATGGTATCATGGTTTTCTCTTACTTTACAATTATGCAACAATTTTGTTGCTTTATCCAATAATAATCCACTATAATAAACTGAGGGTGTTAGATGACAACATGTAAAAAAGATCAAATGGTCTGAATCCTTTTGCAAAACACTTTAAAAACTGGGTAACTGAATTTTTTTTTTGTTTGTTCTTTAGGGGATTTAATAAAGTGTTTTCAGCCAGCTATTCCTTATTAGCAATGCATCTCAGCAGTCTTTAAAACACATCAGCTTAAGAGTGGCAGGGAAAAAGTGATGCTTTGCTGAACACATCTCTGGAATGATGGCCATTTAGATAAAGGGATACCATAATTAGAAAATAATATCATTTGTATCAAAAGTAAAACATGTTTTTCTGCCAAAACAGCCAAAGACCGTTTTGACAAAGATCCAGGAAACAATTACCATCTATTAAGATGAAATACGATATATTCTCAAACAGAAATATATCACCAAATATGATGGATCTCTCTCTGTCTCTTTCTTTCTGTTTGCGTTTGTTTCCATTTTTAGTTTCTTATCTGGCTGTTCTAGTTTGTCCAGTTATCTTTTTGTCCACATTCATTCTGATGTCACAAGACCTTTAACATTGTGCTCTTTGAACCATCAGTAGTATAATATACAAATGTACAGATCCACATTAGAAATGCATACAGTTAGTTATTACAATGAGGTACTACAAAAAGCATGAGAATCAAAAGTCTGTGGGTATTGCAGTGAGGCAAGCAGAGCCACAAATGTGCATCCAGATGGAAGGACTCAGTCCCCCTACCATATTTAAGCTTATGTCTTTTTACATTGAACAAGGCTATCAAAAACAAAGTTTCCAAAAAATTCCTCCTAAAAACATTTTTTTTTGTTATTTCATTTCTCTACGTACAACAATGTTGATTCAATGTATATACATCCCTAGAAAATAATTTAATTATAGTTACACACTTTCTACATTTGTAAAACAATACAGTTCTAGTCCACAAGGAAGGCGTTTGCTTGTATTCAGTTTGTGTGAGTGTGTTTGTGTGTGTATGTAAGAGAGTGTTTGTGTGTTTAAAAGGGGGAATAAAAACAACGCTGGGATGAAAAATGTTCGTCACTTGGCTAACAGTCGCTGGGGCAGGTTTAGCGAGCGAACTGGATGATGTCACAGAGAGGAAGTGGTCGAGTCAACTATTTCCCTCCCGTTGCACACTGTTGGGACGAAGTGGGCACTGACAGAAGCTAGGAAAAAAACAGAACAACATATTAAAATATGACGATCGATTATAAACCACTAAATAAAATATTTTACTGGATAAATAAAACATTTTTCCCCCTTAGCCCTTACTTAAGTCTTTCTTTTTTTGATTATGTTGATTTATTATCTGTGTTTTGCAAAAAAAAAAAATAAATATTTGGAGCATTTTTATACAATTCTGATTCATTCAAAAGAATGAACCACAATTACTTGGTTTCATTTAAACATACTCACATATGTCCCCCATCAAATTAAAAGAAGGCTTCTCATTGTTTGTGTTTTATTTATCTTAGAATTTTCTGGATAATAAGCCAGAGTGCTGGTTTGTTTTAAAGCTTTATGCTTTTGTTCAACATTTTTCTTGAATTATCCGTCCTTACTGAATAAAGAAGGACATGGATTTTCTCTTTGATAATTCACATTATAGCAGGAAACTTAGCTATTGCGATTTTGAGTGGAAACAATCCATATTTTTTGTAATGTCATCACCAGTGGTGTCAAAAGTACACACATTTGTTACTTAAGTAGAAGTATAGATACTGCAGTTTACTCAAGTAAAAGCGAAAAAGAATGTGCTCAAAAACTACTTAAAGTATAAAAGCATAAAGTACCCTTAAAAAAAACATCCAGATGCCACTATATGAATTCAAAGCTAAATTCTTTGACTATTTCGATTGTATAATTCTTTGAGATAGGGCCAAGGATGAGGGAGGTCTTGTTGGTCTCCGTCTCCAGCTCTCGCCTGTTTCCGACATTTCAACATCTTTTTCTGAATCCGACATTGTAGCATGGCATAGACAATTCACGTTTGGAGTTTGAAGAACACCTGCTTGCTTCTGATGATTTCCTTTAGCTATCCAATGTGTGTTTGCGTTATATGACTTATCCAATTACACTAGTTTTCACTAGATGTGGATGGCACCAATGATCTGCATTGGATGGCGCACATGTAGTGAAATAAATATTTATAAACATTAAACCGAAGCCAAGAGTAACGATTAATGTTTGTTTTAAAAATGTACGGAATAGACAGTACAGATACTTGTGTGAAAATGTAATGAGTAGAAGTCAGAAGTAGGAAGAAAAATAAGTAATGGAGTAAAGTATAGATACCTAAAAAGCGTACTTACGTACAGTAACAAAGTATTTGTACTTCGTTACTTGACACCTCTGGTTATCACTCATTATGTGCTTAACCCTGCTTCTGTCCTAGATATAGTTATGGGCTCCTCTTTACTCAGACTCTATGTGCTCTCTTTCCTCCCTTTGATATGAAAACTGGCTCAGAGCTCATCAGCATAACTGTTTCTTTCCTAGACAGAGCCATCTATGGAGGTAGTTTACTGTTACCTATCCTGGCATAGAAAGCATTTATGGATCAGTGCTTTTATGTTCCTTTCTTTTTTTTGCTTTTATCTTTTTGAACACCCATCACACTCGGCAGAATGCTGCTCACACTTAGCCTGGTTCTGCTGGAGGTTTCTTCCAGTTAAAAGGGCATTTTTCTTCTCACTGTCACTGCATGCATGCTTAGTGTGAGGGATTGCTGTTGAGTTAAAGACAACATGCTCCTCCAGGAGGAGATTGTCCTGCAAGGTCAGCCAGGTTTCCTTAAATAGAAAACTTTTAACCAATCTGAATTTATGATCTGAATGAAATGTCTCTGTAAAAGGTCTTAAGATGAAATGTTATGAATTGGTCCAATTTAAATAAACGGAATTTAATTACTTATTAGCAGGTTTTTGCTGTGCTTTTTACTTCCCCCTACTTGTTTTTTTATTTTTCCTTTTCTTTAAAGATATTTCTCAAGTTTAGACACAGAAATTGATATAATTACTTTGTTTTACACTTTCAATTAAAAGTTGTAATGATTTGTGTATACAGTGTACTCTAAAATACATTGAACTCTTCATCGATGGAGCAGAATTATTTAGCTGATAATGATAATTGTTTCAAATTTTGGTATTAAAAAAATAAACTGCTCCTAGAAATTTAATTTAACAAATTAAAGTTAAACGTCCAATGTTCTTACAGAAAGACCGGTACTGTAATAAGACAGTGTAAGGAACTAAAAACACTTGCAACTATCAATTGCAAACAAAAGCAACAACTGTCTGTATAAAGGGATTAAATAGTCACACTGAGTTGACATGAAGTAAACCTGTATTATTATTGTATAGTTTTTCATTCTAATATGCATAGAAATGTATAGTTTAATGTAAATTTAAAAGATGTATGTGGCAACTAATTATCTCTGGATTTATTTGTGACTTTAATCAGTCTGGTTGTTTTAGACAGAGGATGTGTCTCCTTCAAATTCCTTTTTTTTTATTCTTCCGGTATTTGGCCCCATTCTCACAATGGGCCATGTTGTTTTATCCCTCTCTGTTTGATCAGCTGTACTTCCCGCTGTGCACTTTCTCTGCAGTGTGTGACTGACAAAGACACTAGGACTTACACCATTAGGAAAAAAGTTAGCTGCTTCTGAGACCAGAGCCAATCAATTTAAGCTCTAATTCTGTCCTCAGGTACAGCAGGTCAGAAAACAGTACTATCTCTTCTCTGACTACATGGTAATTAGCACAGTTTATTCACCGTGTTTACATGGGAAAACTGCAGCTTCAATCTTTCTTCTTCTTTTTTCATGAAAATTAAAAGTAAAAACTTTTAATTGTCTTTTAAAGGCTTGAAAAAGTAATAGTTTTTTAAATACTGATCAAATAAATTTCCAAAATGGAAGAATCTCATTTTTAAGTCAGTATGTCAAGTGTTTCATAAATGAATAAAAATCGTGTCAGACAGGCAAAGAGAAATATAAATAAGTGCATTTTAAGCTATTGTAACAATGAAGGAGTAAGTAAAAATGTATAAATATCAGCAAATTCTTTTTTAAAAGATCACACAGTCATTGGAGACAAAAAATTGGCATTGATAATGAAAAACATACATTTGGAAATAAATACTTAATGTTTCATGTTAGACCACATTATATGAACAAGAGTTAAAGGACAAATCCTTCACAATTTTTATTTACGGCCGATGACGTCGCCATCCCAGCAGACGCTATTGCTGAGCTTGTTTCCTGATATACAGGTGCTGGTCATAAAATTAGAATATCATGAAAAAGTAGATTGATTTCAGTAATTCCATTTAAAAAGTGAAACTTGTATATTATATTCATACATTACATACAAACTCATATATTTCAGATGTTTATTTTGTTTAATTTTGATGATTACTAATGACAACAAATGAAAATCTCAAATTCATCATATCCGAAAATTAGAATATTACTGAAGACCAATAAAAACAAAGGATTTATAGAAATGTTGGCCAACTGAAAAGTATGAACATGAAAAGTATGAGCATGTACAGCACTCAGTATTTAGTTGGGCCTCCTTTGGCCTGTATTACTGCAGCAATGCAGCGTGGCATGGAGTCGATCAGTCTGTGGCACTGCTCAGGTGTTATGATAGCCCAGGTTGCTCTAATAGTGGCTTTTAGCTCTTCTGAATTGTTGGGTCTGGTGTATTGCATCTTCTTCTTCACAATACCCCATAGATTTTCTATGGGGTTAAGGTCAGGAGAGTTTGCTGGCCAATTAAGAACAGGGATACCATGGTCCTTCAACCAGGTACTGGTAGCTTTGGCACTGTGTGCAGGTGCCAAGTCCTGTTGGAAAATGAAATCTGCATCTCCAAAAAGTTGGTCAGCTGCAGGAAGCATGAAGTGCTCTAAAACTTCCTGGTATGTGGCTGCGTTGACCCTGGACCTCAGAAAACACAATGGACCAACACCAGCAGATGACATGGCACCCCAAACCATCACTGACTGTGGAAACTTTACACTGGACTTCAAGCAACGTGGATGAAGTGCCTCTCTTCTTTTCCTCCAGACTCTGGGACCTTGATTTCCAAAGGAAATGCAAAATTTACTTTCATCAGAGAACATGACTTTGGACCACTCACCAGCAGTCCAGTCCTGTTTCTCTTTAGCCCAGGCAAGACGCTTCTGACGCTGTCTGTGGTTCAAGAGTGGCTTGACACAAGGAATGCGACAGCAGAAACCCATGTCTTTCATACGTCTGTGTGTGGTGGTTCTTGAAGCACTCACTCCAGCTGCAGTCCACTCTTTGTGAATCTCCCCCACATTTTTGAATGGGTTTTGTTTCACAATCCTCTCCAGGGTGCGGTTATCTCTCTTGCTTGTACACTTTTTTCGACCACATCTTTTCCTTCCCTTCGCCTCTCTATTAATGTGCTTGGACACTGAGCTCTGTGAACAGCCAGCCTCTTTAGCGATGACCTTTTGTGTCTTGCCCTCCTTGTGCAAGGTGTCGATGGTCGTCTTTTGGACAACTGTCAAGTCAGCAGTCTTCCCCATGATTGTGTAGCCTATAGAACTAGACTGAAAGACCATTTAAAGGCTTTTGCAGGTGGTTTGAGTTAATTAGCTGATTAGAGTGTGGCACCAGGGGCCATCAATTTTGAACCTTTTCACAATATTCTAATTTTCTGATATGATGAATTTGAGATTTTCATTTGTTGTCATTTGTAATCATCAAAATTAAACAAAATAAACATCTGAAATATATGAGTTTGTATGTAATGTATGAATATAATATACAAGTTTCACTTTTTAAATGGAATTACTGAAATCAATCTACTTTTTCATGATATTCTAATTTTATGACCAGCACCTGTAAAGTTATTGCAAAACATAATTCCTGTGCTGGTATTGAATATACCAGTGGGCATGTTTACCTTATTTAGTGGCTGGAATGATTATTTGATATTTAGTAAATCGACAGCACTCCCAGGTCATTTCCTGTCATGGACTCTTTGTCTGTCGGCATTTCACAATAAAAAGACAGGTAAAACTTAACATCACAGACTACTGCTAAATTGTTTCTTATGAAAAACTTCTGAATCACCTTGGGGAGACCAACACATTTTTGGATAAGCCCGAAAAGCTCTGAAAAAAAGAGCCCTGATTTGAAGAATAGGCGGGACTTCATTGTAAATCCATCCACAGGAAGCACTGATGCTGGGGTCAGTGTGCAGTGACAGACTGGGCTCTGTGCTTAAGGTGATTGAGGACGATTAGCAGTCCTTTTAGGACTAAATTAAAATAGCTTTTTTAAAGCTACCTAAAGACCTCTTGATAGCATTCCTTCTTTCTTCCGTTTTTAAAATTATTTTCTCTGTTTTCCATTTTAAGAGAAAAAAGCTTCACTTACAACCAGTCTCTGATTGGCTGCCGTGTCGCGATTTCATAGAAAAGTTCAGCTTGTTTCCGCTCTCTCCATGCGGTGCTGCTGTTTGCCAACACCTCAGCTCTATCTAGTTACAGGAGTTGAGGGAGGAGCAGTGAATGCTCTCGCTGTGTGGAGTAAGCCATAGCCACTGTGTGTGGTCAGAATACACTATTATACTATAATAAACATTTTTCAAACAAATGGTATACAAGTTGTCATATTGTTGACTTTTTTTTATTCTAACCATCAATTTAAATTACATTAGCTCTAAGCTGTAAAAAAACTAAATCCAATTCTCCTTTCATGAATGTGATAACTATTTAGGCTGATACTTGGATACATGTAACTTAGCAAGTTAGAGAGATGCCAAATATTTTAAAAAGCCAAAATTGAGTCTCTGGCAGGATTTTTTAAATTTTTTTTAAGGGAAGTTGCAGCCTAGTGGTTAGGGCATAGGGATTTGAATCATGTGGTTGTGAGTTTGATCCCCCACTCCCAAAGACTGCCACTCTGGGTCCCTGAGCAAGACCCTTAACCCCACACTGCTCCCCGGGCGCTGCCTAATGGCAGCCCACTGCTCCTCAAGGGGATGGGTTAAATGCAGAGAATTAATTTCCCTCTGGGATTATTAAAGTATAATAAAATAAAAAATAAAAAGATAATTTCTCACCTTACTCATCAGAAATGTTAGCTTTCATTTTAATGTGTTGCGCCAATGTAATTTTTTGGCCCCGGTACTGATATCCGATACCTGGCTATTCAGTATTGGCCGATACCATCCATACCAATACCATCTGTTAGAAATTGATGTCTGTGTGTGAAACATGATTCACAAATATTCAAAAGTTCAAGGTCAGGACCACTCTCGGGGGTCACTGTTGGCTTTTTTTTTTTATATCTTCGAATATTACTTCCCTTGATTACTCCTAAGATATCTAGTCAGTGAGACAAATATCTCAATCCTTATCCTTTGACAATAAAAGCTTTACCAACAAAACTTTGCAATTATATTAAATCTTCTTGTAATATTTTCATTTTGTACCATATTGAATGAAATCTAAGATCAGGATAATAAAAAATGGTGTTTAGTTATATCTAACATTAGTTTTCAGCTTGTTAAACAAGAGCATCGGATATAAACGCTTTTGGGATTCAGCACAACAAATGCTTGTGAGCACTGAATCCAAAATGAGCCTCTCTGAAAGAGAAAACCTGCTGTTTCAATAAAAACAACCTACCATGAGATGCGTATGTAGTGGCAGCCCCGCTGACACTGAAGCGGTTGAGGTTAAGTCGGTGGCTGGTCACATTCTTCTGGGGCTGAAACATGATGATATGGACCTTGGGAGCAAACATACAGCCCAGGACCACAAAGCCACTTAGACTGACAGAGATACACATGGTAGTGGTCTGAACCTGAAAAAAAAGAAAGAGAAATTTTGAGTTTATTTTTTTTTTTACTTTAATTAATCATCCATTTACAATTCAGCAGATAATTTTAATGTATACATTGACTGCACAGTGCTTTGTAAAAGTAAGTATAAGTACCTTTAAATTTTCAATATTTCATCACATTATCATCTCAAACTTTTGTGTCTTTATGCAAAACACTGAAAAAACTAGTACATAATTGTTTGGTAGATGGACATGCATTTTTTTATTCCAAGGACTAAATATAAACCCTAAACACAACATATCAGTGGACATACAAATTAAAAAAACCAATTCAGAAAATACAAGGATATTGGGCTGCAACTAACCATTATTCTACAAATCAATGAAGCTGTTGATTCATTTTTTGATTAATCGATTAATCAGATAGCAAAAGGTTCCTCAAAAAAGACTTTTCACCTGGCCAAATTTAACCAGGTGAAACTACAACTTTTCCACTTGAGGACTTTTGAAAAGAGTGTATTAGAAGACGAAAAATATTTTTTATCTTAAGAGGAAAATATGTACATATTTTTTTCTACAATTTGGTAGAATTGCTGCCTAAGCAGGTGGCTCTGTCAGCTAAGGCACGTTATAGACTCTCTACACTCCAATTGAATGATTAATCGATTACTAAATTAGTTGATGATTATTTCAATAATCAATTAATCATGATCAATATGATTAATTGTTTTAGACCTACAATGAAGATTCTAGTATTAAAGTGGAAAAAAGTAGAGGACTGAATAATTTGTTATGGCACTGTAACCTACTAGAGATACATTATTGCATCAGTAGAGCTTCTAATCTTTAAAACAAATAATTAAAGTACTGTTTAAGAGAGATCTGACTTCTAATAATGCATATAGCCAATACGACACATATAGCAGGAGTACAACTCTTATTTCAATATCTTCTTACTTCACTTTAGTCCGGAGAATAACAATTACTGAATCAATCAATAAAGACTCAATCAACAGAGAACTCCGAAGCCAAACTTAATAGTCTCTCCCTGTTCAATTTAAGTTTGTTCTTTGTGGTTCATTGTATAAATCAATGCTAAGTGCTTTCCCACTCTCTTAAACACAGTTCTGCAGCAGTGTCTGTTGCTTGCTCATTTCAGGTTCCCCTAATCACCACTCTTAAGTGTTAACAGAAAGTAAAATCACACCACAGCTGAGCACATTCGTCAGTAATCAACAATCCAACATCTCCACTGTTTATATAAATATTTATAAATGTGGGAGGATGTTATATCTGCACAAGAGTAATCTTTAAGTAAGAATTGTTATAATATTTTCTTTTTCAGATGACAGAGACAAATTTAAAGAGACATTTCAGCAAAAAAAAAAATGTAAATGAAAACATTAATTCAGGTTTTTTTGCTTAAGGATCAAATGGGCAATTCGGGCGGCACGTCTCTCTCTCACGCCCTTTGAAACAGTTTGTGCTTGTGAACATGTCTGCTTAAAGTGTGTAGGTGTACATGGGATTTTTGAGGCTTAGGAGTGCATTCATCCACCTTTGATGGTAAGTGTGGACATGTGGCAGCAGTTTAACAGAACCTGTTTGTCACTTCAGAACTGCAGAACTGGAGCATCTGCCGATGGGATTAGCTGTAGATTAAAGTTACCAGCCATTTATTTCCTATGTTACCTGACTGTTTTTATCAGTTATGTTGAGGGAAAAGCTAGAAAAAATGTACTTTTTAAAGTATTGTTAACTAAGAATTGTTGAAACAAAAATAATAAGTAAGCTGATCAATGTTATTTAATGCTTACTATCATTTAACCAAGGCAGAAATAGATGTGTTGGTGAGTGAAATGGAGAGTTGGATAAATGTGTTTGTTACACAGCTATGGGGTGATAAATAAAAGGAAATATTATGTATAGCAACACTTTAAAATGTTAATATTTGGACAAATATTTATTAATTATTGATTATGCCTAATATTAAATCAAATAATTATCCTTTACTGTTATATGCACAATAAAAAAGTTTCCTTGTACAATTAAATTCTTACTTTGCTGTCCACACTGGATGCCAAAAGAATAATAATAATAATAATAAAAACAGAATAAAACAGGCATAGAGGAAGTTGTACTGGTAAGAACTTGTTGCCAGGAACTCCAGAATGGTTACCAGCTGTGTTTATTTCAAATCAAAAATGTTTACAGCATTCAGTATTAATGCCCAACACCTTTCACATTTACACACTGATCTGTGATATGACTCCCACTGTTAATCATCGGGGAAAAACTGTAAGGGTAAGAAACATTTAAATATTGAGAGCGTCTTAATTTAGCATTTAAGTTCACTTATGATCTTTTTTCCTTAAGGTGACAGATCTTTATATGTAGCTATGGCTCAGCAGCACAAGGATACAGACTTTTTCATAACACCTCATTTAAATGTTGGAAAAAATTATCAGTTTAGATAGATACCATTTGCTTGCCTAATGCTCTTTCTACATAGTGCAATTTTTTCAATATTATAAGACTATTGCATGATATAGTATATGACATGGAATTATCTGTTTTTGGCACAACATTGAGATTACATAGGTAAGATTTGAAAGATATTCATATCCAATAACTCACCAACGGATCATCGGTTCTGCAAAACCAACACCTCACTGCAATCACAGTAAGGTGAACTGTGAGCTACAATCGTATTTTTCTCAAAGAGGGCCATCCTTAGCGATAGAGGAATTGCATTTTGCTCTTTGCAGAGTGTGCTTCTTCTTCTTGACGGTGCAGGGACCGTCTGCAACATGCAACACCAAAATAAATGTAATGGCTACACCAAGGACATAATCTATGCGATCTAATGGTTTTCAGATTGTAATTTTTGAATTGAAAGGTAATTCTTTTGAATAATCTAAAGATTTTAGCAAAAAAGTAACAGAATGATTACTTATTCCATTTCATTTTGCAGTCCCTTCAAAATTAAAGCACACATATACTACCTTGTTCATACCAAGTCTTCTAATTTGGGAAAATATGTTAAAATGCGATTAAGGGGGAATCTTAATCATAACATCAAACATCTAATAAAATGACCAACAACTTAACTATTTCAGACAGTGGTGCCACCAAACTCACGGTACAAAAACAATATATACTCTTGATCAAACTACTGTACAACTCCTAAGTTGGGTAAATAAGTCAAAATTCAATTTTGGTGGAATTTAGGCAATAAACAACCAATAAAATGGCGAATAACTACTTTATTACAAATTGCCTAAAAAAATTAAAAGATCACAGTACAGATAAATCATCCCCTCTTGATGAAAATACAATTCACCTGAGCAAACAAACAAGTAGCTATGAGGACTCTTTGCAATTTGCTTATAATTGTGAAGTTGGAGCTGAAGATGCCATCACACACCTGCTTCAACAAACCTACTGTCATTTAAGCAAGGTAGACAGCACCATAAGAATCCAGTTGTTTGATTTCTCCAGAACAGTTAGGACGATTCAGCCTGACTCACTCTGTCAGAAACCCCTGAAGACTAAGGTGGAGTTTCAGTGAAACACATAATGCTACATTGCCAATATTCTGGCTGTGTCCTAGCTAGGACTTGGAGTTTGTGTAAGTTGTTTGCTGAATCTCACATTGCCCATAATGATTGATGGAAGAGAAAGTTTCAATTTCCTGCTCCTCTCTCTTCTCCTTGCTGTCTTTCTCTTCCTCTCTCTTCTCTCTATGAATTTCTGTGGCACCACAATGTGTAATGAAGTATTTATTGGTCCTTATTTATTATCTTAAATTCCACCAAAATGTATTTTGTTTTATACTTTCCCAATGTAAGAGTTGTTGTATGATCAAGAATAAATAGTTTGTTTGAACTGTGAGTTTGGTGGCACTACAGTGTGAAATATTGAAGTTATTGGTCATTCTATTAGTCATTTATTGATTAATATCAAGCCTGAATAATATTTTAGCAGTATCAACAAAATTACGGCTACAATATGCAAAAGAACATTGTTGTATGAACAAGGTAATTTATGTGCGCTTTTTTTTAAGGGACTGCAACATGGAATGGAATAAGTAATTGTTCTGTTACTTTAGTTTTTTGTATATCATTGCTGTTCACAGTTCACCTTGCTGTGATTACAGTGAGGTGTTGTTTTTTTAGAAACAATTTTTGCTGGTGAGTTATTGGTATGGAAATGCCAAATCTGGAAATATATTTCTAAATTTACCTAAGTGTTAAACTCGATCAGTAATGCTAAGAAACTTTATTAGACATATATGACAGCCATCTGTGCTGTTACGACTTAAAAATGAAATCTGAAAAAGGAGAATTTGGACGCAATCGAGGTAAATAAAAAATGACCAACTTAGGATGCTAGTTCCTGACAAGCCTCCCTTGGCAAAGCGAAAAGTTGGGCAGAACATGGCACTAAGATTCCAATCCTGTTGCCATAATGCTGAACATGACAAAAAAAAAAGAAAAAAAAAAGAGGCTAGTTCACAGAGAGAATACCTAAACTTGTAGTCTGCGACATGTTTTCTCATGGAGGCTTTACACAACTGTAACCCAATGAAAAATTGCACAATCCCAAAATTCTAAAGGTTCTAAAAGCAAAAATCTTGCTGTTGACTTGCGCTGAAATAATCCAACATGAGGGAAAATATTTCTTTCTTGCTCTAATTACTCACCAGTTATCGGCTATAGTCAGAGCGCTCACCTGTTCGTGTGTAATAGAAAGAAGGAGCTATTTTCTTCTGTGCGTGATGCTCTATGTTGCAATTAGAACAGACTCTTCATGACAGAAATTGATTAAGAAATCCAAAACTTATAAGGCCTACTTTTTAAAATATTTTAATAGGGACCACAGTCCCTGTCTGCGAAGTCTCTCTTCTTCTTGCCAAAACTCTTTCCCTTATATAAGTTATTGTGTTTCCATGTTGTAGATGATTCTTATAGTGGATAAATAGGTGAGTAATTTTATATGCAAATGTATTGTAACGTGGTAGCTGCTGGTTTTTGCACATTCTTCATCTGAGAGGTTCATAAAAAATCCCTGATTTTTCCCTGATCGGATCTTCTACAGTTGGGTTGCTATTTACTTATCAGTACTTGTAGGTTGTAGCACCTGTCATACTGTGAGACCTGCATTCTAAATATCAGACAGGTAATCATTGCAGGTTATCTTTGGTCACAACATGCTAAAAAAAACTGCCTGGCTTTGCAGTGTGATGTAACACTGCAGATTGAGAGCCACCACCAATGATTCCTAAATGATATTCCAACAAACCCCCCCAATGATCGCACAGTGTATACCTAGTATTAAGTATTTTAGGATCAATTTGTGCAAAGCCAGGCTTGCCACAATTTAACACTGAAAAATATAAATTTTAATAAGCCTCTGGGAGTAATGCTTTAAAGCTTTCAAATACAAATGTCAAAAGCTGAATACCACATACAAGGTAAGGAGAAAATTCTGCAATTGGTGAAAGAGTAGGTGAACAATATGTTTGTCATTTATTATACTTTTTCAAAAGTAAATCTTTTCCTTTTGTGAACAAAACATTGCAGCTGGCTACTTTGAATATGAAAATGTGTTGTTGCTTCCTAATTTCCTTCATTATTATATAAAACATATCTGAATGCAAATCCACAAGTAAGAAAATACCCTGTAGTCACTGGATGTGACATAGAAGATGGGAAGAAAGGCCAGCCAAATTATACAGGTGGTATACATGGTGAATCCGATAAACTTGGCCTCATTAAAGTTCTCAGGGCATTTCCTGGTCTTGAAGGCATACCTATTAAAAGACATAAGCACACAGGACGTAATGTATGACACACAGATACCGGTAAGACTAACAAAAAAAAAGAAAAGAAAATGTAATAGCTGTTTTTTAAGAGACTAGCACAACATAAACTTACACAGTACACAAGATGACCAAGAGTACATCATATCCCAGAGACAGTAGCATGCTGGAGTCTCGCACATTACACTTGAGGATGACTGTCTGGCGTCGTTCTGGTAACGTAAACCGCCGTGTCCCTGGAACCTCCAGAAGTAGCCACACTGAGACCATTACTAGTTGGACGGAGATCAGACTCAGACAGATAAATACCTGACAAAAACGAAGAATAGGAGAATTAAAGTCATTGGGTTTCTCTGTGTCAGTTTATCCATCCATTCATCTGGCTGATTTAGATTGATGGACAGACTGCTGCATTCACTCACTTGAGAGAATGGGCTAATGAAGCGCGGCCTCACTGCGCCCGCCCCATCTTTCACGCCGTTGAAAATTCTGGAGATTCTGTTGGTTTTGGTAAGCAGGGCTGAATAGCACACAGCAAATGAAGTGCCCAGTCCGAGGCGCCGCAGGGCACATATGGCAGGAGAGGGTTTGGCCAAAAAAAGGAAAGTCATCGCATAGGACATAAAGACTCCAGCGAGAAGAATGTAGCAGAGCTCTCTTCCTGAGGCTTTCACCAATGGTGTGTTGTTATGTCTGATGAACACCCAGGCTACCAGACCGGTGCACACAAACCTGCAGATAGGGAGCATGCACAACACAATTAATGGTTGGGAATAAAGTTTATGTCATGTATGTCTGTTTAGACCTAACCCTAACCCTAACACAAAATTCTGTCTGCAACATTTAGAGAAGGAATGTGCATTGCCCCTTATGTTTATGGGAACTAAAAGTGTCTACATTGCCTTAAAAATATCCTGTTCCACATTTTGCCACAACATACCGGTAAGCCTTTATTTTAATTTGGTGTTATAGATGGACCAATGCAGCGTTGAGATAAATTGTGAAGTTGACAGATATGTATACAAGATTTCTAAAATACTTGAAAAAGATTTTGCCACCACTGTGCAATTTTTAGACCTGATTTATGCTGCATTCTCAGAGATTTCAGGTATGTCTTAAGTAACACTACATTTTATTCATCCAAAATAAAGCACCTGATGTTATATTACATATGACGCATAAAATAACATACATGTCTTTTAAAAATGTGCTGATAATTTTCAATTGAATATAGGTCTGGACCTCAACAGGACCATACTAAAAATGAGTATGCTTTGATCTATGCCGTTGCATTTTAGTTTTAGCTGTATAATTTTGGTCATTGTCCTTTTTGAAGTTGAATCTTCAGCTTGATATCATGTCCATTGCAGCCGCTAACTCCTTTCTTTAGAGATTTCTCTGAATTTTTCTCTACATATCTTGACATTAACTCTGAACAGCTTTCTTGATTCCTTGTTACCAGAAGGGAATCAATAGCACACTGTTGCCACCATCACCTTGTACTCTGAGCATGGTGTTTGAGATTGACTAGTGTGTATGGCCACACAGTATTCTCTACATTGGACAAAAATTTTATTTAATTCTAATCTAAACAGGGCATTTCCTTCATGTTTGCTCTGATATGGCTTGTGGCATGATAGCAAACTGGATTTAGGATTTCATTGTTTTAAAGATAGCTTGCTCACTTCCTTACTCTCTGAAGACTAATTATTGTTCCTGCACCAGCGCAGCAGGTAGCTTTCTGCCACAGAGTTAGCATGTGTCTTGGCAACTTCTTCTTTTGGACAGTCAGGGCTGCTGTTGTATCATACTTTAAAATTTTCAGATGACGAACTAAACAATGGTTCAAGACAAGACTAAAAGGCTTAAAACATTGCTTTAAAAGTGCCTCAATATATCTTTAAGGTCCATCTATAGATAAGTCAAACACTTATTTTGGTCCGGTTTGGCATGATCAAGTTTTTAAGGGTCAGTTGCAGCTTTATAAATTGAACATTATATTTTATAGTATATTTACAAAGTCTTGCTGCTCTAGTACTATTATTATTACTATTATTACTCAGTTTTCTTTATCCGCTTTAGTCATGCTCCACACTTTAAAAGAACATATGCCTCTATGACCTGATATGCCTTTTTTGGCTTCTGAGAACTGGAAAAATTACTGTGACAGACCGGGTTTGGCCCATGGGTCTAGAGTTTGTCACGTTTCACTTAGTGTTTACTTGTATTTTATATATAGTAATTTTCCTCCTCATTTAAATACTTTATGGGTTTATTCCAATATATCTTTCGGATGAGAGAACTGTTTCTGCATTTTCAGCCGTCAGTTTCAGCCTGTAGTCAATTTCTCGCTTGTATTAGTCAGATTCAAATAAGATATGATGTTTAAGTTATTGAAAATTCATATATATATCTGTCACTGCTGGCAGGTTTTCATTTATCTAAAAAGCTTTCTAATCTCTTTCTTGATTAAAAAATCCTGTACTTTACTCACCCTACACATGCAATGGTAATGGGACCAATGGCCCAAGCATCTTCCCACATAATGTAGTCCTCAGGAAGGTCATAACAGGATGTGAGGTCCTCTGTTGGCCACCGACCAGGAGCGCATGGCGAGCAGGTGAACTCATCAGCGAGGTATTCATGAGGCTCACACGCTGTACAGATCCAGCAGCAGTACTCGCCTAGGGATCAGTAACATGTGCAACATGTGGGAACATCTTTAAACATAAAGGAAGCTTTGCTTTGAAAAAGAAAGTCACACTTCCCTCTCCTACCTGCCTGCATTTTCTTCATCTCATTGCGCTCACAGGGGTCGCTGCACTGAGAGGTTGGCACTGCCTCTTTAGGCCAGCGTATCAGATCGTTGTTTAGACTCAGACTCTCTGCCCACTCTCCTACTGGCACATAGCCATAACGTTCCCCAGAACGTTGATAGCTAAAGATGTTGTATCTGCCCATGCCGTCCCCCTGAGAATCAAACTTCACAACTGTCTCACTGCCTGGAGGGGCAAATGGGGCTGTAGTGGGGAAAAGGAGATAAATGATAAGAAGTCACAAATGAACACAAACCTTGTGCCAAAGTTTTTGAAAAACAGCTGTGGGACAATATGAAAAAACAATGGTTATCTCACTCTCTGAGCTCAGATTAAAATGAAAGCAATCAAAATTATCTGCTTACTGTTGAGACCAAGACAGTTTTACATGTATTAACAAATAGGCTGCAAGTGGCTGCAAGTGGCTGCAATGCCTGGCGATGGCTTAAGTGGCTTAAAATTCCTCTCAGAGGTACCATAGGGATAGAATCGCTGGCCTAATTTCTTATCTGATCCTGTGTATCACCGAAGGCATCGTTAGGATTCTGCCTATAAAAGCATATAGTCATAAAAGCATAGGAATAAAAACCCTGGGCAATGTAATAAGTACCCACTCATTGATGGAATTAGCCTATGTGTCTCCTCTGCGAGGGAGGCACACTGCTGAAAGTGCCAAATTGGTTTGTATACATGTTGTTATAAAAGGATTACCATCTACCCCAAGGATGTGGGAAGAAAGGAGATTGTAAAATTGGCATGTTGCTGAAGCCATAAAAAGAAGGAGAAAATGACTGTGGACTGAGAAAACGGTAACCTGACGTGTCGTTGGCAGCATCCGACCTGATAGTGCTGACACTTGGTCCTTTTGACTCAGACGAAGTGCATATCTACAACAAAGCCACATCTGTCCCTATAGCAGAGCAATCAAATCACAGTTGCTGACACATAGACCTCTGTGTTATACAGTGCTGCCTGTCAAGTGATGGTTTGTGATCTCTTAACATATAACAAGACTTTTAGCCACCCAATGGAAATATGCACTGATAATACCGTGATGCCCTCCTGGTTTAATATGATGCTTGGGTTAAATGAAGAACTTGCAGGTCAGATTGGATTTTTATACATAGATAACAATATAGCAGGACAAATCACAACACAGAATAGAAGTAATCTGTCGAATTGCCTGGATTTGCACACAAATGCATGTGGGAACCCCATTAGGTTGTACTTCCCAGTGTGGTGGCTAAGGTATTGCTTTGAGCTCGGTGGGAGGCTATGCTGACAGAACCAAAGCCTTGACCCTGCTGTTAGTTTGCACGTGCATGCATGTTCACGGGCATGTACATGCGAGTGGCACTAACAACCACTAAAGCCATCCTTTTGTTGTGCAAGCTCAGTGTGTGCGGAGAAGAATGGTGTGTCAAATGGCAGCAGAGGGTGTTAGCGTTTATGAAATCCATAAATCATAGAGACAGCAAAACCCTTTATCTTCCTCCCTTCTCCCCTCTGTCACAGGAAATTCAAAGCATCAAGCTTTATTTGAATTTTGGGGCTAAATGCTTAGATGATGGCTTAATTATTGCAATAACAATGTGATGATGCTATCAAAAGATGAAAAAGAGAGATAATTCATTATCAAACAGCTGCCATATAAATAAAAAGTCTTAAAAATACACTGGGTAAAAGGTAGCCAGACTACGAGCCAGTAAGAAACACAAATATATCCCTGAAAATACTTTACCATTAGCCAATTATCCAAAATGTGTGTTGCCAAGACGGTGGATTGTACTGAAGCCTTATGAGCTGCATGTGATAATTACATGTAATGAAGAGATAGCAGCCTAAAAGATTGAAGATGCCTCTGATGGTACTTTTTCTGTGTTGTCCTTAATATACCTCAAAATCAAGTTCAGAGAGTAAATAGATTATCACCATCCCTGACTTTGTATATTGAATAGACGTGAATATGCTGAGCTGACAGAACGTCTTATCAAGAAAGTGTCTGCAAGTGCAAGTTTGAGCCATAAAATTCTTTAAAACTCTTCTGAGGGGAGACAGCAGAGATATGAGACGTATGATGGAAGTTTTCTCTATGAATCTCAACCCAGTCACCATAGGATAAAGACAACATACTTTTTGTTTCTGTAAACATAACATGAGTATTTGATGACACACTCAAATAATTACTAAAGCCCCCTGTTGAGGTAAGACACTTTGTTACCATTCAACATACCCAAAGTAATTGGTTCCAGAATTGTTTAGTATCATTGATGTAACACAATGTGTATGGACATTTTAAGTATGATGCAAAGTAACATAAAATTCTTGTTCTAAAAGTCCACACTGGTGAAACCATAAGTTATCTTGAGGCCCAGATCCATGATTACATGCAGCTCTGTCTTTGTCGAGGTTATTTTAGCCATGTGAAATGCATGCATTTTTGTTTACAAAGTAAATAAAATTGAGTTGATAAACCGATTCATATGTCATTGGGTTATTTAAACGTTATGAGTTAGTTGAACTTAACTTAATTCAATGCAGGGACAAATACTGGTCAAAAGAATTAGATTTTATTAAGTTAAGCCAAACAAAAATATTCAAATTTGGTGAATGAATTCATTACTCTTTAAAAGTATATTTTTTTTAAATGCATGAACATACTCAATAAACTTACACCATACAGATAAATGTGGATTAATTTCAGCTAGCAAAAATGTATAGGGTGAAAAAAAATGCCATCAATTAAATTGAGTTAATCCAATGATAATTTTTACGAGTGGAGTATGGCAAGAATTTTGCACATATTCACCCCAGCATGAACGTAGTGATCTATGGTTTTTATCACATTCATTTCACCTGTTAACAGTTCTACAAACAACTTCACTGACATATATAAACAAGTACTAGTGAAAAGTATTATTTGTTGCATCATTTATCTATACCTAAAATAAATACTTTGACTAAGATGCATAAACAGACACCCACTAATATCAGAATAAATTCACCAAGTATAATTAAGAATACAAACTACTTTTCTCATCATGCATCATATTTTGCATTTTAATGGAAATGCCACATTTTCATACTCGAATACGCTCGAAAGTTGGTATTAACTTAGCAGAAATCAGATGCTTTTTATAATTATTCACCAGCATTTTAAAGTGTTGACTGATGACTTGTCTTTGATGATGAGCTCTTCTTAAAGTCTTTAATGGTGTATTGCTATAGGAGTCAGGAATCTGGTTTGGTCACTACCACAAATATTACTTTCAATGAAAAGAAGCATAATTAATACTAGGGCTGCAAGTTACGATTATTTTAAAAATCAATGAATCGGCCGATTATTATTTAGATTAATCGATGAATCGGACAAAAAATATTTTTAATATTAACCTCTTTATTCCAAAATAAACATTTTAGACAGAACAAACAAGCACACAAGTACAGGTTGCTCATTAACTGTACTGGTGCAATATGAAAAATAAATGTTTGTGTTAAAACTACGCAAACTTACATAAGAAATGTAGCTGTACATCCACAAAATATAGGGTACTTTGTTTCATAAAGTGCAAAAAAAGACATTTTTGTTTTTAAAAGCCCCTAAGGGGTTCAAACAATAGGCCCCCCCATTCCAACAAATGAGGGTTTTTTTAGACTAGAAGAGTTCTGCCTTTTAAGACAGGAAAGTATAGCAGTTAAAGTTGCTTGAGAAAATACTTAACCATAGAGATAAAAATAGCCCTGTGATTCAAATTATAAATTGTATTTGGAATAAAAATGAGAGAACTAGGGGTGCTAAAAACACATCCTCCAAAGACAGATATTTACATGGGAATGTGGCATATAATTAATTGACATATTACTGATCTTGCTGGATTTTATTCTGCTTTACTTCGATAAATTGCAGGATCTTCTTTACTTTATCTTTGCCAGAAGATTAAAACTTTAAAAGCCTTGCCCTCATAATTTGCAAGTTAATTTATTTATAAAGAAAATCTAAACGCTGCTTAAGCTAATTCAAATGAAATTAAAAGTAAAATAAGTAGCCTACCTTATCACTGTCTGTAACCTACTAACAAGGTAAGGAAAGCATCAGATGAGCTACCTGAGAAACTAACGTTACGTTTCCCCACTTTAAAACGAAACAAACATGGTGCTTCCATGCCATGTTAATTTGTTTTGACAAAAGTTGCATGTTACGAGTTTTTTCACTTTACAAAGCTCAGGCTATTTTAATTATTGTGATCAATTTGCGCCTTCAATCCCGGCGCATGCGCGCTTCATTTGCAGTCTGGACGCTGAGGGTAAACATCCTGCAGCTCTGACTGCAGCGCTGAGAGGGACTCATACGGGAGCGGGAGAACAGGGTTGGGATGGGCCAGGCGCCCCACGGCAGAGTAGGAACGATACATGCTTTCACGTAAGAGTCTCCAAAAGCCGCCAGTGACACCGTAAAAAGTCGCCAGATTTGTCGCTAGTCGCTTTTTTGAAAAATAGTCGGTGGAGGGGTCTGAAAAGTCGCTGAGTTGGCAACACTGCACCTGCAGCGCTGACTCGCTCTGCCGCATTTTTTCTTCTTCCCCCGTTTCAGTCAAGTGGATGTGATGACGGCGGCGGCGGCGGATTACGCATTAATCGCGCGACACAACTAATCGACGATTAAATTCGTTGCCAACGCTTTTAAAAGTCGATTTTTAGCGATTTTATCGATTCGTTGTTGCAGCCCTAATTAATACAATTGTAGAAACCCGTTAAGCCAGAGTATGGCTAATGCAATAAATAATTTTCAGCTTACCAGGTTGAAAAATGCATCATTTTGTTTTTCCAGTTCTTTTTATTTATTATTTTTTATTTTGTTAAAAAAATAACTTTAGATTTCCTATACCTTCTACTGTACAAACACTCATCAATCAATGCATCTTGAATGACAAGCAGCAGAAAGAACAGACTTTTTTCTATATCTACCCCTTAATTCATAGGAAAACAACTTTATGTCAGTTCCATTACACTGTTTACATCTATCTTTTCTCAGTTACCCTAATTTAGATTTTATAGTATTTAAAGTGTTATGTAAGTATTCAGAATTCAAAACATAATGCCATATGAGTGACATTATCTCAATAAACTCTAATTGTCATACGTCCTCTTTAATTCCCTAAGTCTGTTCCACAAATTTGTTCCTTTTTCTATGATGGTCCATAGTT